CAGGTGACGTTCTGCCCTGCTCATATTCGTTGGAATCAACGCCAGTGGTCATGTGTTCTTTTTTATGATGAGATCAGGTTTAACCTCTCATTTAATGATGGTCGTAGGCGGGTTTATCGACGTCAGAATGGACATTTTGCTGACGCAACAGTAGCAACCCATGACCGATTTGGTGGCGGTTCAGTGATGGTATGGGATAACGGCTACTGGGAGGACTCCTCTTTATGTTGTGGAAGGAAATATCACAGCTCAACGATACAGAGACGAGATTATTGTTCCATGTGTGGTACCATTTATGCGTCAACTTCCAGCGTATCGTGGGCCACCCCAGTTTCAAGATGACAATGCCAGACCAAACAGAGGACGAATTGTGAATGACTTCCTACAGCAGTATACCATGAGAATGGAGTGATCAGCTTGTTGCCCGGATCTTAACCCAAGTGAGCATGCTTGGGATGAGTTGGGCCGCAGAGTTTACAGAAACCACCCTATTCCCCAGACTCTTGCTGACCTCCGTCTAGCGCTACACAGGGAATGGCAGACAATACTCCATGTATTCTTTATGAACATAATAAGGAGTTTGCGGGCTCATTGTGACACAAGTTTGCGTGCTAATGGTTGTTACACCAGATATTGATGTTAACCGTTTCATTTTTTGTGACATTTGCTGTTAAGTTTAATAAATAAATTCTCATCCATGACAAACCTTGTTTAGTGTTGTATCAACTGTGATTTGACAGATTAAATTATATAAGTGACCCTTCACTAATGATGCTTGGTATATTATTGTTTTCTGTACTTTGCATGTAAAGATGTTTTCAGTTTCTATAAACTCAGTTCTTTCACTACCGTTGATACATGTGTGTAAAGATCTGGGGACACCTCTGCATGAGAGTCACCACATGTGAACTGTCTGAAGATATATATTCAACATCCAGGCTTCTAACTTTACTGTACCAGTGAACTTTCGAAGCAGCAGATCTGATTTCTGTATCTTGAAAACATACTTTCTGGAACAAACATACAAAAAGGCTGCCATCCCTTTGCTGTGGATATTTTATACACCTTTTCCTGCTCTCCTTGGCATCTTGACGCTATGGATATTTTATACACCTTTTCCTGCTCTCCTTGGCATCTTGACGCTGTGGATATTTTATACACCTTTTCATGCTCTCCTTGGCATCTTGACGCTGTGGATATTTTATACACCTTTTCCTGTTCTCCTTGGCATCTTGACGCTGTGGATATTTTATACACCTTTTCCTGCTCTCCTTGGCATCTTGACGCTGTTGATATTTTATACACCTTTTCCTGCTCTCCTTGGCATCTTGAAACTGTGGATATTTTATACACCTTTTCCTGCTCTCCTTGGCATCTTGACGCTGTGGATATTTTATACACCTTTTCCTGCTCTCCTTGGCATCTTGACACTGGATATTTTATACACCTTTTCCTGCTCTCCTTGGCATCTGGGGCGGTGGGGTAGCCTAATGGTTAAAGCGTTGGCTCGTCACGCCGAAGACCCAGGTTCGAATCCCCACATGGGCACAATGTGTGAAGCCCATTTCTGGTGTCCCCCGCCGTGATGTTGCTGGAATATTGCTAAAAGCGGCGTAAAACCAAACTCTGTCAGTCAGTCAGTCCTTGGCATCTTGATACTGTGGATATTTTATACACCTTTTCCTGCTCTCCTTGGCATCTTGACAATGTGGATATTTTATACACCTTTTCCTGCTCTCCTTGGCATCTTGACACTGTGGATATTTTATACACCTTTTCCTGCCCTCCTTGGCATCTTGATGCTGTGGATATTTTATACACCTTTTCCTGCTCTCCTTGGCATCTTGACCTGTGGATATTTTATACACCTTTTCCTGCCCTGCTCTCCTTGGCATCTTGACGCTGTGGATATTTTATACACCTTTTCCTGCCCTCCTTGGCATCTTGACCTGTGGATATTTTATACACCTTTTCCTGCCCTCCTTGGCATCTTGATGCTGTGGATATTTTATACACCTTTTCCTGCTCTCCTTGGCATCTTGACCTGTGGATATTTTATACACCTTTTCCTGCCCTCCTTGGCATCTTGATGCTGTGGATATTTTATACACCTTTTCCTGCCCTCCTTGGCATCTTGACACTGTGGATATTTTATACACCTTTTCCTGCTCTCCTTGGCATCTTGACGCTGTGGATATTTTATACACCTTTTCCTGCCCTCCTTGGCATCTTGAAACTGTGGATATTTTATACACCTTTTCCTGCTCTCCTTGGCATCTTGACGCTGTGGATATTTTATACACCTTTTCCTGCCCTCCTTGGCATCTGGGGCGGTGGGGTAGCCTAATGGTTAAAGCGTTGGCTCGTCACGCCGAAGACCCGGGTTCGAATCCCCACATGGGCACAATGTGTGAAGCCCATTTCTGGTGTCCCCCGCCGTGATGTTGCTGGAATATTGCTAAAAGCGGTCGTAAAACCAAACTCAGTCAGTCAGTCAGTCCTTGGCATCTTGATGCTGTGGATATTTTATACACCTTTTCCTGCTCTCCTTGGCATCTTGACGCTGTGGATATTTTATACACCTTTTCCTGCTCTCCTTGGCATCTTGACACTGTGGATATTTTATACACCTTTTCCTGCCCTCCTTGGCATCTTGATGCTGTGGATATTTTATACACCTTTTCCTGCTCTCCTTGGCATCTTGACCTGTGGATATTTTATAACCTTTTCCTGCTCTCCTTGGCATCTTGACGCTGTGGATATTTTATACACCTTTTCCTGCTCTCCTTGGCATCTTGACACTGTGGATATTTTATACACCTTTTCCTGCCCTCCTTGGCATCTTGACGCTGTGGATATTTTATACACCTTTTCCTGCTCTCCTTGGCATCTTGACGCTGTGGATATTTTATACACCTTTTCCTGCTCTCCTTGGCATCTTGACACTGTGGATATTTTATACACCTTTTCCTGCTCTCCTTGGCATCTTGACGCTGTGGATATTTTATACACCTTTTCCTGCCCTCCTTGGCATCTTGACACTGTGGATATTTTATACACCTTTTCCTGCTCTCCTTGGCATCTTGACGCTGTTGATATTTTATACACCTTTTCCTGCTCTCCTTGGCATCTTGACACTGTGGATATTTTATACACCTTTTCCTGCCCTCCTTGGCATCTTGATGCTGTGGATATTTTATACACCTTTTCCTGCTCTCCTTGGCATCTTGACACTGTGGATATTTTATACACCTTTTCCTGCTCTCCTTGGCATCTTGACACTGTGGATATATTATACACCTTTTCCTGCTCTCCTTGTCATCTTGACACTGTGGATATTTTATACACCTTTTCCTGCTCTCCTTGGCATCTTGACACTGGATATTTTATACACCTTTTCCTGCTCTCCTTGGCATCTTGACACTGTGGATATTTTATACACCTTTTCCTGCCCTCCTTGGCATCTTGACACTGTGGATATTTTATACACCTTTTCCTGCTCTCCTTGGCATCTTGACACTGTGGATATTTTATACACCTTTTCCTTCCCTCCTTGGCATCTTGACACTGTGGTTATTTTATACACCTTTTCCTGCTCTCCTTGGCATCTTGACCCAGGAGGTGTATCATCGGAGGAAGTTTTGTTTCATCTGTGGCATTTGTTTTTCTAAAACTGACATCCCAAGGGGATAAAGAAACAGAACTCAATCATTTCAAGATGACATCTCCCAGGCTCCGTGACCTGTACTGCCTTTGTGTAAATTGGCAATCAAAGTTTGTTGCTTACTCAACTGACATGACTTTCTTAGGTGTTGTGACATTTTCACACAAAGGGGTATTGGCTTGGAAGCTTGGATTTAACAGTGTATGAAATAAGCCAAAAAGCCTGCCAGACATTCGGGCTGGTAACTTCAAAATGTTACCAGACCAAAATGGATTTGACCAGACCAGACAATTCAAAGAAAATAACTCAATTATTGGTTACAGTGAATAATTTAATGAACCTGAGACATTGTGTATTTACTACGCGCATCGATAGGTCTCGCTGTTTTAGTGACAATATATGTCAACACAGTGCTTTGAGCATACAATACGATAGTTCAATGTTCAAACAGTAATTGTCAAGTCTAAATGTAACGCTCAATTTGAAAAACAGATTTTATGATCTGGTATTTGGAACATGTTATCTAAAATATTTACCAGACCACCAGGCTGGCTGACGGTAAATTAAGACCGTCTGTCAGAAATCTAACCCGTCTCCGGCGGTCAGACGGGCCTTATTTAATACACTGGATTTAAGAGATATCCAGTGGCCATGCATATGAGGTTGATCCTTTGTAATTGCTACAACTGGATTCTGTATTACATGCAAGGTAAAGGTAAAGTATTCAGGCCCAAGTTACTTGTAAATTCTCTGAATGAAATATCTGTGAAGTTTCAATGTTTTTAGCATATTCAGTGAACATGTTCATTTGGGCAACACTGTTGCAACTCTGTTTTGCTCAGTTTTTCATTCAGATAATGCCTCCATAGTGATCCAACACTGATTCTGTTACAAAATTGTGTCAAATTCATGGTTCAAGCTTTTTTTTCGTAAAATTTAGTGGATAATTTTTTTCTGAATGTTATAATGATCTGTAAAGCCAAGTGTGTTCATACTCTTTGGCCAATTACATGTACAATGTACGTGATCAAGACTAAATTGTTGGGCTTCCGTTTTAGGTGGCTGAGTGGGTTAGATGTTAGTGAAAATTGCAAGTCATGTTTTGGTTTGTTCTAAATATGTATCTAAAGTCGGACTTTCGTTTTTTGAGGGGTTCAGTGTATCAATGCTTATCTAAGAGTCTATTAGGGTGGAACAATCGCTGTATTTGAATTGTCCATTTTGTCTATGGACCTGTTATTTACAGACCGCCATGACCTGATAGGAATAACATTTTAGTTGTGTTAAACAACAAACAAAAGATAGATTTGATTACATTCTGGTTTATATTTTTCAGCCTTCCAATCACATGAAGCCTTTGAAAGTGAAAAGGCATTCAAGGTCAAGCGATGACAGCGACATCCTCTAGGAACTCTTAACAAAGATCCATTCTGATTGGACACTGAGCAAATACCCCACCTGAGCTCATGCTGATTGGTTGAACAAAACAGAGGAGGAGCTTGTGTCTGATTGACAGCCTTATACTACGTGTCTTGCTCTTCCAGTGTCAGTAGTCAAGAGAGTGTCTGCCAGACACTGAAGCCTGTAGTCAGTGAGCAGTGTATATCCCTTGCATTTACTGAACATGGTTAGGATGATGTGCGACTTTTCATGGCAGTTTTATCATTGATTTGTTTGTATTACATCGGGAGAATTGTATTTATATTTATTAAGTATTTTTACACATTTTTGTGCATGTTAGTGCTTTGGTTTATATCAGGTGAAATTTTGTTACAGCCTGTTGAATGTGACAGGATATTTGTTTGACTTCAGGACAAACTCGTAATGTTATTAGCGGCTATGGACTGTGTTTCCATGTGTAACCATGGTAACTGTCTCCCTTTTTGTAGTAATTAAATAGACCAATATCGTTTCCAAAGTTTGATTAGGCCACAGGTTTTTCTTTATCTTTTTGGGTGTATTTAGGAATTTGGGGGCTAAATAATTAAGTTAAATATTTCAACCCCCTCCAAAGTTGTAAACAGTCCAATTTCAGTTGTTAAGGTTGTTTTTCATATTTAGTCCATATCTAAAGAATGTAGGAGTAGGGTCTGGATTTTAAAGATGAATTTTGGACAGGTTTATTTTAGTGTATAGAAAGTCATCTTGAATGAGTGTTTTTTAAATAATAAAAACTTATGTCACCAGATGTTTTTTTCTCACTTTTCAACTTCGTGGGAATATGCAGATTGGTATGCTAAGTTTTAAAACATCCTGGCCCAATAAACAAGACTGATAAGTTAAGGAGTGCATGGTGGTTAGAAGTATTACTTGATTAAATAATTGAACATGTAAAATGTCAATTATGGATGTGAGGTTCAAACAAATATCTGTTTGTCTTTAATTTGTTAAACAAAAACTAGAGGTAGTCATCAAACACTTGCTCCCATTGCTGCATTATTTCAGAATGCAGGTGACACTGTCATGTTAATTATGGTCTACTTGGCTTAAGAAATGATCTTTATGGTGATATCAGATGTGTTGGAAGTCCTTAATGCCTTTTACACAATTATATGATTTCCCTTTTTATGTGCTTTGCTTTGACTTTAATGTTTTTCTGACTGTTCTTTAAATCAAAATATGAAAATTGCTTTACGACTACTGTATCCTCTATATCTCCAGGGCAACCATTTCAGTACAGCTTCCTCAATCCCTGCATCCATTTTGTGGTTCTCAAGATTTATAATTACCTGCCCTTGATTTTCATAAGCCAGCTTGATTGGCCGGGCTGCTTGATCTAACAGTCTAATCTGAATGTGAACTAGCATTAATGTTGGGTTGGCGAAGTGAACAACATGGCAGCTATTAATTAGAGTTTGTGGGAAATTCACCATTGAAAAACTGACAGACAACAAAAGAAACCAAAAATGTTTTTCATGGAAAGAATGTCTTCATGTCTATTAAAACTGGAGCTAGTAAGTCCTCCCTTGACATTTTCCGTTTCTTTATCTTAATGTTTGATTGGTTGATAAAATGGACAGGTAATTTGAACTTCTGGAATGGATCCGGGGTTAAAAGCTTGCCTAGGAGATGTAGAGAATAAGTATATTAAGATAGTTGGAAAAGTACAATGATTTCATGAAACCATTTGCTATACTTAAGAAACAACATGGTTCTTGAGCTGCTTGGTTCTGGGGTTGAGTGTTTTATTCATTCATTTATTTTTTTCAAAAAAATAATAGTGGTGCTAACATTTATTGATAAATGAATGCAAGATTGTATGTTCAAATAATCTTCTACACATTTAGCTATTTATGAGACATTTTAAGAAATTATTTTCTGAATATTTCATTTGTTTGTTTTATTGATTTTCTCAACAACTTACATGGAGTGATGTGATGTATGGAGTGGAGTCCATGCCACGTCAGACCATCATGACAACTTTGTTCCAGGTCAGTGTTGATGGGGTTCTCGTTTCTTATTTATGATGTATGGCAATTCCATCAAAATATGCTGTTAGATGTGTTGTCTGCTGAGATATTCATGTATATATAGACAGAGGACATAGATGCTTTAGTCATTCAAGACATTATTCACTTGGGTGTCATTTTGCAAAAGGATCGGATTACTACGACTTTCATGTGTCAGTTGAAAAGCGTTGGTGTACTGATAGTCATAGTGCTAGGACTGCTTTATGAAACAGGCCCCTGAATGTTTCACATTATCATTATTGCTAATCCGAGATCAAGTTTTATCAAGAAATTCTAGTCTTTCCACAGGGCAGGATTTAGTTATATAACACATGCTCCTGTGCAACCGGTTACTGAAAAATGCAACTTGATATTTATGTGTACATCAGAGGTACAGATAAGCTGCGTATCTGCGTAAATTACGCAAATATTTATGTGAAAACTCAATTCCTGTTTAGTCTATTGCGTACATGTACGCTTCAATTTTTGTAAATACTCAATAAATCTGATCTTACATGCGTACAAACAAAAATAGATAAAATAACTGAGGTATATTGAGAGGTTCTATTTCAGCACCTGAACTTGGCAACTTGCAATCTTTCTTATTGTTTCTCAGATTACAGATCCAACATAAATAACAAACACGTAAACCAGCATATAAACTTTATTATAATTTTACAAAAAATGGAAAATGGCAATATACCCAATTGATTTTTAGTGAGGTGGGTACAATTTATTTGGTTACTCAAAGGAAAATTACGATACCCAATTGAGATTGACACAAGCAAGTACATAACTCAATGACCCAAGAAGTTATCTGTAGCTCTGGTATATGCACCAAGTGCATTGGAAACAATTTATGTCAGACTAACCCTGATTTGTCCACAGAACTTCAGTCTTTGAACACCCACTGGAAGCTCTGTGTTCTTACTTCATCACTTGTCCCTGTGTTATGTGGCCACCTTGACACAGTCATCCTAGATCCAAGATTTTACGTGTTTAGGTAGACAAACATCTAGTCTCTGAAATGAACATATTTTACAGAAAAAATATAATCATGAAATATAATGAAAAGGAGTCCAGAGACTTTCTTTATTTTCAGAAACTGTGGAACTGTAGACTTTGCCACATATTCTAGACTTGCATGGGCTTTCTTGGATATATTTGTTTCAGGGTCTGTATGACAGACTAGCATCTAGGCTGAATATGTTGTTCTAAAGCATCTTTGTGTGAACTTGATGAATATATGGAACCAGAGAGCAGCCTGGTTTTGTTGTGCAACTTGTTTTTCATGTCAACAAGCACCTTGTGTCGGTTAAACCAAGTTCCTTGAGTTAAGTCTTGTTTACAGAAATAGTAACACCAGTTGCCGCCACTTCTGGAAAAGATGTGAATTATTTTTAGGGATGAAACGGTACATTCTTATCATGGCACGGTACGTATTGCGGTACAAGGCCTTCAGTTCGGTCCGGTTCAGTTCGGTATATGTGATATGATCATAATGCAGAAAATTGACAAGAACCAAACCTAACATTGAAAGAAATAACCATAATCTTTGTTATTTTGAATAAACAAAACTGTCATTTTATTACAAGATCAAAATGACGGTACCAAAACCGAAAATACCAAATTTTTGGATTGCATTACGGTATACCGAATCATAGGCAAAATACCGTGGTTCTACTGATACCGCTGTATATCGTTTCACCCCTACTTTTTTTACGGCTGTTGATCCCGCTGCTTGGTCACCAGCCTTCGGTCCAATCAGAGATCGTGTGTTTGTTTCACTACTTATTTGATTTTAGGGAAATTTACTGACAAAATCTCTCCCTACATCATTGCTCGTTGACTGTCAGTGTGCCTAGACATAAGCTACTGAATCAAGACTTCTCTTTTCTATTTTGGTTTACAAATTGTTGTGGTGAAAATTTGTTTGGTAGGTAAAAATATAAACAAAAATGCATTTTTCAATACAGGAGTACTGGACAACCTTAAGAGTACATGTAGAGTACTGAATGGAAATTAATGGAGTATCAGTAATCTTGTGTTTCGTTTTATGTATGCACCACAACATTGCTACTCTTGTGTAAACAGGTCAATGAACAATAAAACAATACTTTTTCAGATAAATACGTCTGTAAATGACTCTAAGACCGTACACCATTGCTGTAGTGCGGATCTGCTAAGTTCTCTAAATTATTTCCTACTGTATCGTGCATATTTTTATCCGTACACACGCCGATATGGCCCTTATCTGGGGTCCTGGACATGTATATATATCCTATGCTAAAAGTGCCAAACTCTGCTACCACCAGATTTCCTTCATCACAATATGACCACCAGTATTGTAGAACAGTTCTATGTGCATCATCCTGACTGGCCAATGAGGCACATGTAGCTGGAGATTCTTTAACCTCCTTTCTAATGAGATCTTATAGTGCTAGGGCCATTATAAGCGTATATTAAAGAGTAGGAGTTATCGAAGCAGCACTACATTTGCTCTGTGCAAAGTCCGGGGACTGGTTTGAGCGAATGTAATCATGAATATCTGGATGAACTGGATGGAAGTGAGCAACATTGCAACAACTAGGTGTGATGTACTTAAGGAGTGGACGATCTTGTGTCTCAGGTTCAAAAAAGTAATAATCCAAATGTAAGCTGTAGTATACATAGCTTCTTAAAGCAATGATACTGATGTTAAGGGGGGCCATGGGGCCATTGTACATAAAAAATATTTCAAAGTTATGCTTAAAAAATATGGGAAAGGGGGTGGGGGGTGTCATTGATTTTGTACATGACATGCAAGGGGCTCACTTACTTTGTACTCAAATTGTAGGCTGGGGTCAGTCACATCATATATTCTTCTCCCCTGCATTAATTATGAAAGGTCCCTAACACTTAGTCTCTGGAAATTTATAATTTTGATAGTAACGTTTAACTTGAAAAGCAGCCCTATTGAGATTGGAGACTCCGATTCTGAACCATAGGAAATCTAGACTTACTTCAATTAGGGCTTTAGCACTGCAGAGAGGGCTAGGCAGTAGGGTAAATAATGTGGTTCAGGGACTGTAAGACAGACTAGAAAAGTATCTGCCTACACCAAAATTTGTATATAAAACTCTAAATGGCTCCCCAAAACAATTGTTTGTTAAGCATCATAACCCCAAACCAAATTATTATTATATGACTACAAAGTATCTTGTATCTTGAAGTGGAATAATATAAGATCCCTCTTTAGGTAGTTACATGTTGATTTGGAATAGTTCAAAATGGCCACCAACAGATTCTTATTGCAAAAGCGTCAAAGCTGTATTTGTATCAATGTATGAACACTCTGTTAGTTATTAGGGCAATCATTATTTCTGAAAGGTTTCATGTGAAAACGAAAGGTTTCATCATACTGTCACTAGTTGACATCATCAGGGACGCAGATGTTGTGGTCCCAGGTAATGCTATTTGTTATACTGAGTTGCCTCCCTTGACCTATATGGTTATAAACCACCACTAATTTACTCCATCCTACAGTTGACTTTTATAAATAATTATATAACTTTAATGAGAAACTGTATTACCAATGTGTTAGTTCTGGAAACTGTGACCCTATTGCCCCAAGATGTTAAGGACTTGATTCAGCATCTGTACAGTATTCCAACTGTACAACAGCAATCTCTGCCATGTTACCTGTCAATATTTAATGTCACATATATATGTAAATGTATGATAATATATTCATTGCTTTGGCAGCTTGACAATATGGGAGGTGAGACCATCCTTGGATAGCCAGCATGTTATCCCTTTCTCATGATAAATACCCATGACTTTCGCCTCGATAGTTCATTTCCGATATGACATCACATTCTCCCTATTTTATCTTTAATTTTCTGTTATTTATCCATCTTTTGTCCATGTGTGTTGGTTGACTGTTATATGTTAGGCATTGTGTTGTTTCGGATCTGTCTAGTGTATTGGCCAAGGGTATTAAACATGATAGAACAGGTAATATTCCCTGGACTATCTAGGATGGTTCTTTTCCTTTTGTCAGTACTTGTATATTAACTCTGCTTCTTTAACGGCCATTGTCAGATGTTGTTACTGCACATTTATCCAATGTGTTCTGAATTCTGTGACCTTGTGACCTGAAGTGCACAAAGTGTTGAGTAATATTCCACCACAACACAACCCCCTCCATAACAAATATCAATCAGTGTATTGGTAACCTCCTTGTTGTTTAACATGTGATTTTGTTTGTTATCTAACACAACTTGGCAATAATTATATTCCAGCTGTGTGATTAAGGTCTGTAAATAATCGAGTCCAAACAAAACAATTCAGTGATCGACATCATGAGCATCAGTATATGCAGAGGATTATTGTACTGTTTGTTTACAACTGCTTTTGATTCTGACATCCATTGGTCAGTTTATGAAGGGTTTCTTATTTTGCTTTAGCAATTGAGTATAGTTTTACGCCGCTTTTAGCAATATTCCAGCAATAACACATTGGGGCACCTGCAATGGGTTCTCACATTGTACACTATTCTGCTTTAGAGCTGGCTAATCAACCGTGGTGGATATAACATGTGACCTGGCTGATAGTGTATCATTGTAACCCCTTAGCATGCATGTTACTCATGCAGTCAGCCATCATGACATAGCTGAATGCTGACTCCATGATGAAACCTCACTCACTTTTAAATTACGCTACACTACAATAATTATTAACAGACAGACAGACAGACATTTTATTTCAGTAATGTTGGCCATTGGCCCATAATACAACATAGAGCAAATATAAAGAATACATACATGCTGGATGTAGGATAACGATTGGAATACAGGGTCAATTAGTTGTAGTAGTGGGTTTACTTCTTAGTTTTAGTACAGTGGAGAGGAATGTACTTAATGGTTTTAGATAATTTATGTTGTTGCAAGTAATTACAGGCACAAAGGTTTCAGTTGTTGGAGGGTTGGTCTGGTGGGTTGTGAAACACTTATTTCTTATTTCAGAATATTTGTCACAGATAAGTAGGACATGGAGCTTGTCTTCAACATAGTTTAGGCCAACAGAGTGGCAGTAGAGGCAGAGACGTTGATCATAGGGTGTATGTGTGTGACGACCGGTTTCCACTGCTAATCTAAAGTTGTTACAGCGGAACATAGCCATAACTTTCCTTTGATATGGAAGGAGGTCACAGGACAAGTAGTGTTCAACATTAAGTAAAGATTTAAATTGTGAATAATATTTACATTTAGATGAAGAGTCAAGTGAGGATGGCCAATTTGAAGGAAGCAATCATAAAATCGCTGCTTGAAGATGGATATAAATGTTTTAATGCAGCCAATTTCTTGTGAGATCAATACAAACCCAAAACCATACTGAAAAAGGATTTGTCTTATGTGTGAAGCCCAGGTAGATTTATAATAATCATCAAGAGATTTGAGCATTTGGTAGGCCTGATAAGGAAGTCTATGGTGTTGTAGCTGCAACAGTCTGCACCAGTACATTATTGATCTGGAGGTATAGTGGTATTGCAGTGAGAGAACTTAAAATGTGCAGTTTCAATATGTCTGCAATAAGTGGTTCCCCAAATCTCTGATCCATAACACAGAATAGGTGTAATCATGGAATCAAATATCTTTAAAATGTCCTTGTGATTAATACATCCAAAATGCTTCTGGTAATTATAGATGGAGAATATAGCTTTACTTGCTTGAGCTGCTAAGCAGGATTGGGCTTTAGTTCATGAGAGTTTAGGGGTGAACACAATCCCAAGATATCTGTACATATTCACAACTTCTATTTGTTCACCATTTAAAAACCATTTCTCATAAGAACGGAGAGGACCACCATTTCTAAAAACAATAAATTTGGTTTTGTTCACATTGACTTTCATTCCTGTATCTGCACAGAATTTTTCAACAATATTAATTTTCTTTTGGAGCTGTAAAGTACTATATAGGCAAACACCATCACAGTGTCTTTATCAAGTCCAAGCTTAGATGTTTCAAACAATATGACCACTGTAATTCTCTAAATGAGCAAATGTTCTTCTAATATAGTCCACAAGTTCTTTTTAATGAACACAGAGACACCACCACTGTATCGACCCATTAACTTTTGCTTAGGTCTACAACAATGGTATGAACGAAAACCGGACAGTAATGTCTCAAAATCCTTCGGGTCTCTAGCAGAGTCCAATTATGTCATATCTAGAGTAGAATTGTTTAAAGTCACTAAACGTAAAACTCACGTGTTTGTATTATCCTTCGATATTTCGATATTCCAACTAAGGATACTACACGAGACATGGTCTAATCCTCATTTGTCTCGGTAAGTTGTTGATCGTGTGATTCTACTTGGAATGCTCTCCCCTTCACTTCCGTTGTCAGGTGTAAACAAAGAGGCGTGGCTTTCTGTTTGAGTGTGTGCTCTGTTTGAATTATGAGATCGTTGGTTTCCACCTGATATACACACATTCTTATTATTTTCTCTGTCATGAATGAACACTTTCCCATCGACGAGTAACTTATCATGTCGGATCTTTGCTTTCAATCCCGCTTTGAGAGCATCTGAATACAGTGGTGCAAGCGATCGGCGAGCTTCTCGTACACGCTGTGTGAGATCCTCTGTAACACGTCTCAGGTTTTCCCGGTCTCGTAGTTTCCTCCTAGATGTAGACAGAATATTATTCTTGTCGCTTGTGAGAACAAAGTTGACGATCGGTGGATTTTGTTTTCCATTCCGAAGACGATGGGCTCTTATGATAAGAATATCGTCCGCTTCAGCTATATCCAGATTGTCTCTGATAAAAGCCCTGACTTTATTTTCTCGCCCTTCTCTTCTTCAATGCCGTGGAATAGCAAGTTATTTCTCCTTGAACGGGACTCATCATCAAGTCTACCATTTAGCTGCTTTATCTGGTCACACATGAATTTATTATCAGAACGGAGCTGGGTAATTTCTTCCCTCTGCTCGCTTGCCTGTGCCGCCATTTTGTCAACTTTCGTATCCAATGTTGCTACATGATCCTTAATAGTCCTTAGATCAGTTTTCAAGTCCATTATAGCAATCATTAAATCGTCGTTAGTGTATTTGGCCTTACTAATACCTACAGCACATGAATCTTCTAACGATAGCGTTGACTGCCTGTTAGACTTGGGGCCGGGGTTAGGCTAGTTATTAACTATACAATGTGACATGTGGGTTTGGTAATGTGATGGAAGTCTGAGAAATACAACATGCATATTTTCTGTTATAATGTCAAGAAAATGGCAGATGTGTCATGCGCTAACATCACATTGTTTTTCCTTCATTTTATACAGTGAACATTTCCATGTAAAAACACAATGAAAAGATTCTGTGGGGTATTATTAATGGCAATCAGTTGTTAAATGGTATTGATGGGTGATTTTGGAGATTGTAATGCTCAATAGCATAATCAGGACAATCCACAATGGGAGTCATCACAGTAACTTACAGAAATCAGATCAAATCAGGAGCTTATTTCATACAAAATTTGATACATTATAATTTGATGTTAAACACTTACGATACATAGCCTGTATAAAATGTAAAACGTTTCAGCTGATTTATATGTTTGAATGTTCTGAGTGACATAACTGACTCTTTGTTTTTTGTGTATTTTTGTCAGGGTCAATCATGGACATAAGGGTATATGACCCACTATCATGATTTCAGTGACACGATTTCATGTGTTGTAATATGATCAAAATCTCAATATACACTACTCAAAAGGAGTTAAAAATCGCCTGATTGTTTCACATTACTTTAGTTAGTCTTTAGTGTTCACTCAAAAGAGTGAGTGAGTGAATTTAGTTTTACGCTGCACTCAGCAATATTCCAGCTATGTGCCGGTGGTCTGTAAATAATCGAGCCTTTACCAGACAATCCAGTGTTCAACAGCATGAGCATCGATCTGCAATTGGGATACAAAGACATGTGTCAACCAAGTCAGCAAGCCTGTCCACCCGATCCCGTTTCTGGCCTCTTACGACAAGCATGGGTTACTGAAGATCAGTTCTAACCCGGATCTTTACGGGTTACACTCAAAAGATGTTTAAGAACTCCCTATTCTTTCCTATTCCTATTGTTGACCTGTCATGCCACTCAAAAGAAGTAAGGAACACCCATCTTTTTCATATTATACCAGAGATTATCTGTCATGCCTCTCAAAATATAGACAGACATACTGTACTTTCAGGTGTGTAATTTCCTGTGATTCACCCTAACATTATGGAAAGAGGTAATGATAATGGATTTCTATGGCTCCTTGTATCCAACTCAAAGCTGTTCAATGGTGCTTCACAAAATCATTACCCTGGAAAAACCCAAGCTGCTGGTCACATGACTTATGCCACCAGGTACCCATTTTCTGCTGGGTGAACAGAAGCAATTTTGAACAAACTCACTTGTCTAAGGTGAGACCACATCTCTTGGATCTCCGATAATTTCTTAACTGTGTAACCTTCATTTCCCAGGATCATGGAAGACAAGTGCTCCTCTGAAGTTCCAGCCAGATTTGTGGCACAGTGTCTTGAGTATGAGGGAACTGAATCTATCTTCTGTGCAATAAATTATTGTTTGATCTGTTAAAACCTTCAGCATCTCATACCCAGGATATCTTCTGGTTACCATGGCAATAACATAAATGGATCTAATTGTTTGCGTTATCCAAATTTATGTTCTTGATCAGATGGATTTTATAAATGGTTGGCTCTGCAGGGGTGGAAATAGTGCTGAGTGTACGTGCCATGGCACGGGAAGTAGTAAAATGGCGTGGATGAAATAATGCTGAGTGTACGTGCCATGGCACGGGAAGTAGTAAAATGGCGTGGATGAAATAGTGCTGAGTGTACGTGCCATGGCACGGGAAGTAGTAAAATGGCGTGGATGAAATGTTTTCTATGTGCCCTGGCAGCTCGACTGAAATCATTAAAATAATGCTCACCATAATTCATTTAATGGAAAATACGATAAATTTGACCGACTGAAATGATTCAAAACCTATCTTTTGCACCCCATCAAACTGTTTATTGGTAGGACTCTCAATCTTACAGCTTAACATGGGCGCGGCCATTTTGAATGTCAATGCGCATCACAGGAAATACTGTTAGGGATGATAACATAGTTTGTGGTTAGTTTCTGGGTCCAGGACAAATGATGCTGAACTATTCTTACAGACTTGATGATGTTTAGGAATCCAGCTCTCAGCTTTACAGGTTTACATGATGTTTACTGATTTGTTCAACAATAAATTGAAATGACACCATTTTTGTGATGTTTTCAGTTTAATTACATCATCAAAAGGTATTGACACAATTATTTTGCATTTTTGTGTTCAATTGTTGTTGACCTAGCTGAAAACCTTCTGGTGAGAATGTCCATAAAAGTCTATGACAGCACTCACGAATATTGGTAGATAACAGGCTGTATTCTGACATCCCCTATAAAGTACAAAACTTGCATGTAATGGGGAAATATTTTGTCACATTAAAACATTGTTTTTCATATTTCTGACTGCATTCTAAATGATCCAAAGATTCAAGTGCAACTGACTCAAAAGGTCCATTACACTTGTTAGTTGTGTCTCTAGTCATTAAGTTTGAGAAAACCATGTTCAATGATGTTGAAGTAGTGATTAGATATTCATCCATATTTACCCAAGACTTCAACTAGAAGGAAATTTGTAGCTAATGGTTTGTTATTTAAGGAAACTATTCATCTAGGTATGAATTAATAAAGTGTGAATGTATGTTGGAATCACTAAGAAGTTCTCAGTTTCATGTTATATGATGATGAGGTGTAGAATTATATATTATTATACAGCTGTACTTATTATGATACAAGTGTTCAGTTATGTGTGTTAAGTTACCTAGACAAACAGTAGAAGCATATCTATTTATTTTTCTATTGATTAGAGTCATATGTGTCACATATCACCACTGATAGATATTTTCATAGTTTTTAATTATTGCTACTACTTTAATGCTTTGATGAAGAACCTGCTGGCATGGGTACTGGCAGATACCTGGATGTTGAATATGAATGGTTTAAAATGTTGAATATGATTGGTTTAAATCCAAAGATGTTGAGTTCATGTGTAAAGATATGACATAGAAAGAAATCAGATTATGTTTATGGATACTTTTCCTGATTCCTAATGTGTTTAGCTCTTTCAACAAAGCCAACATCTGTAGGTTGCTATTTGGCCTAACAAAGTTCATTTCCTATTTTACTCCTGAAGGTAAGCCAGTACATATTTTAAGTTGTTTATATTCTTTTGTGTGTTTTGGTTATCAGTTTTATTTGAAGATATTTGTTGAGAATTGATTGTATTTTGACTCGCTAAAAGTCATATTTATTGAAGTTTAACTACAACATTTCAACATGAAGTTTTTGTGATCATGAGGTCGACTCTGACTTATCAAGTAGTTATATGTATAAAAAATATCCAACCATAGCAATTAACTGTACCAAAGTGCTACGCATATCATTATTCAAACTATCATTTTTGAAATTTGCATCTTAAAAATGCAATCTTTAGAATATTATTCCTTTAAAAACAATATATTATGTTTACAAGACGGTTCATAAAGTAACAATTGCCTAGAAGAATATGAGATATAATTTGAAAGGTATGTTCTACAAATTACTTCTTCTGTTTTGTCAGTATTAGGAGGCTTCATCAACTTTTTTATGAAAATACCAAAGCAAAATATCATTTACTTTTGCCAGAAGGGGAGTGATGACTGTTGACCGAGGTACATATTGAACACAATATGGAAGATTTAACTAAGATAAACCATACTGGATCCAGGCGTTTTAAACACATTTCTAATTTATTTGTGGCGAAATTAATATCTTCACTGAGTTGATGAACTGAAAGAATTTTCGTTGTATTAGTCCCATTTCTTAGGGTACAGCTAAAGTTACGTTCCCATGGGCACATGACCACCTTAAAACCTTTGTGAGTGCCCTACGGCACACATGGAAAAGAACATTCATGTCAAACTTGATGTTGGAACCAGTGATTCTCAGTACCTTTGACACTGGGTGGACAGGAAGGTGAACCCTGTCTATGTAGCCATTACTGACTAGTTTGTTTGGTGCTTGATTTACCAATAATGACAGAGATTGTAGTGAGTTAGTGATAAGAGTTATGAAGCTGGGGATGTTGCTTCTAAAATAAAGCAAGGTCGCCAAATGGGTTCAGGGTGTGTGTTATGAAATACTGGATAACAGAGATTGACAATCATTGAGCCACCCAAAAGGTTCCCTGTCAAAGCCTTCTGATATGTTCATATAATGTCAGAGGTCAGTATCTGAACTTTATCCTTTCCACCTACCCTAACCCTCCACCCTATCCCCTCAGACACTATCCCCCCCCACCTTGATGTGAATGTGCTTCTGTAGTGATATTCACCCTGAAGGGGTCGCTGGTACAGATACTACAGATATGTACCCCAGGTATGTTTCTGTATACAGAAAGGTACCCTAAACAATGTCAAACTACAGAAATGTACCCAATACCCAAAAGACAGACAAGTCCATATTCCGCAACCCATAACTGAAATTGTATGTAGTTGTTCCCGTTCAACTGATTGTTAGTGATAATGTGCATTGCGAAATATTTGTTCGTGTGCTTGCTTGTTTCTTATGTAACACAATCAAATGCATCTAATGCAACAGTATTACAGTTCCAATCAAGAAAACAACACAGTGCAGAATGGAATCATCCTGGGGTACATTTCTGTGTTCTGGTTTTGTGCATACAGAAGCATACCTGGGGTACACATCTGTAGTGCCTGTGCCCACAACAACCCCTTCAGCGATATTCCCAGTATCCTCTAGATCCAGCAGTTAGTCTGATATCGGCAGTGCCCACAACAACCCCTTCAGCGATATTCCCAGTATCCTCTAGATCCAGCAGTTAGTCTGATATCGGCAGTGCCCACAACAACCCCTTCAGCGATATTCCCAGTATCCTCTAGTATCCTCTAGATCCAGCAGTTAGTCTGATATCAGCAGTGCCCACAACAACCCCTTCAGCGATATTCCCAGTATCCTCTAGATCCAGCAGTTAGTCTGATATCAGCAGTGCCCACAACAACCCCTTCAGCGATATTCCCAGTATCCTCTAGATCCAGCAGTTAGTCTGATATCAGCAGTGCCCACAACAACCCCCTTCAGCGATATTCCCAGTATCCTCTAGATCCAGCAGTTAGTCTGATATCTGATATCAGCAGTGCCCACAACAACCCCTTTCAGCGATATTCCCAGTATCCTCTAGATCCAGCAGTTAGTCTGATATCATTGCCCACAACAACCCCTTCAGCGATCCTATCCTCTAGATCCAGCAGTTAGTCTGATATCAGCAGTGCCCACAACAGCAGTGCCCAACCCCTTCAGCATATTCCCAGTTCAGCGATATTCCCAGTATCCTCTAGATCCAGCAGTTAGTCTGATATCGGCAGTGTCTGTGTTATTGTATCTGTCTCACTCATCTATCAATCATCTGTACATTGTCAGTTTCATTTGATGTGTATTGATATATAAATATTGACGCCTTATCACTTGGAGAAGTTTGGCTGTAAATTCTGTCTTTCCTGAAACATTTTCATCATGTTTGTGTGAACATTTGATGTATACTAAACAATAATGTGTGTTTAGAAACTTTTATATATTCATAAATTGATTTGCAAGCTGTCTTGCTTGTCCATTTATGAGGTTTTAGAGAATCAACTGATTAAACCTACCTGTATTTTTTATTTACTTAAGAAATAATTTTATGTTTAGAAAAGCAGTTGTATAAGATCAAAACAGGTAAACTTTGTGAGAATGTTTAAGATGTGGTCGATTTGTCCATGTTCCTTTTAGAGACTTGAGAAAATAAAGCCCTATTGTATGGTTATTCCTGATAGTTTTTATGTTGTTATCCAACTTTCACATTCAAGACTGAATTTACCACTGACACTGTTGTCTTGAAGATGTTTGTTATCTGACATTCACATTCAAGACTGAAACCACTGACACTGTTGTCTTGATGTTTATTATCAGACATTCACTTCAAGACTGAAACCACTGACACTGTTGTCTTGGTGTTTATTATCAGACATTCACTTTCATTACTGAAACCACTGACACTGTTGTCTTAATGTTTATTATCAGACATTCACTTTCATGACTGAAACCACTGACACTGTTGTCTTGATGTTTATTATCAGACATTCACTCTCAAGACTGAAACCACTGACACTGTTGTCTTGGTGTTTATTATCAGACATTCACTTTCAAGACTGAAACCACTGACACTGTTGTCTTAATGTTTATTATCAGACATTCACTTTCAAGACTGAAACCACTGACACTGTTGTCTTAATGTTTATTATCAGACATTCACTTTCAAGACTGAAACCACTGACACTGTTGTCTTAATGTTTGTTATCAGACATTCACTTTCAAGACTGAAACCACTGACACTGTTGTCTTAATGTTTATTATCAGACATTCACTTTCAATAGTGAAACCACTGACACTGTTGTCTTAATGTTTATTATCAGACATTCACTTCCAATAGTGAAACCACTGACACTGTTGTCTTAATGTTTATTATCAGACATTCACTTCCAATAGTGAAACCACTGACACTGTTGTCTTAATGTTTATTATCAGACATTCACTTTCAATAGTGAAACCACTGACACTGTTGTCTTAATGTTTATTATCAGACATTCACTTCCAATAGTGAAACCACTGACACTGTTGTCTTAATGTTTATTATCAGACATTCACTTTCAATAGTGAAACCACTGACACTGTTGTCTTAATGTTTATTATCAGACATTCACTTCCAATACTGAAACCACTGACACTGTTGTCTTGATGTTTATTATCAGACATTCACTTTCAAGACTGAAACCACTGACACTGTTGTCTTAATGTTTATTATCAGACATTCACTTTCAAGACTGAAACCACTGACACTGTTGTCTTGATGTTTATTATCAGACATTCACTTCCAATAGTGAAACCACTGACACTGTTGTCTTAATGTTTATTATCAGACATTCACTTTCAAGACTGAAACCACTGACACTGTTGTCTTAATGATTATTATCAGACATTCACTTTCAATAGTGAAACCACTGACACTGTTGTCTTAATGTTTATTATCCGACATTCACTTCCAATAGTGAAACCACTGACACTGTTGTCTTGATGTTTATTATCAGACATTCACTTTCAAGACTGAAACCACTGTCACACTTGTCTTGATGTTTATTATCAGACATTCACTCTCAAGAATCAAATCTCTAACACAGTTGTTGTGAAGATGTTTATTATCAGACATTCACATTCAATACTGAAACCACTGACACTATTGTGGAGAAGATGTTTAACATATGTTATATTTGGGATTACACTTTCTTAGTAAAGTACAGTTTCTAGTACTTTTTGGGTTGAGTCCAGAATCTGTACTTTACTAAGAAAGTGTAATCCTAAATATAACATATGTTACATTTGACCACTTTCTAAAAATGGCATTGTGTATTTCAGAGAAGATGTTTGTTATCCTACATTCAGTTGAAATTCAACTGTTTTCATTTCATTTTAAAAATTAAGGTATTGGTAAGATATGGGGTAAAAGCTTCAGGGATAAGTGAGACACTGGTTGCCTGGGCCCCGTTTCACAAAGCTCTCGAAAGCCTAAGATCTCGTAACTATTCTCGTAGCATTCGTACCTCCTATGTTACAGGGGCGTTGGGGTAGCCTAATGGTTAAAGCGTTGGCTCGTCACGCCGAAGACCCGGGTTCGAATCCCCACATGGGTACAATGTGTGAAGCCCATTTCTGGTGTCCCCCGCCGTGATGTTGCTGGAATATTGCTAAAAAGCGGGGTAAAACCAAACTCAGTCAGTCAGTCATCAGTCCTATGTTACAGTATAGGAGGTGCGAATGTGCTAATGCTACGAGGAAAGTTACGAGATCTTAGGCTTGCGAGAGCTTTGTGAAACGGGGCCCAGGTCGCCACTGCAATTTTCTCTCTAGAGTTGTCGCCCTTAGTCATGTCAGAATCCTGGCTATCAAGTGACTGTAAATTCAAATTTACTTGTCAAAGGGGGATAAATGCTGTCGGGGGAAAATGTTATCCTCGCCCTCTAAAAACAATTGTGACAAACGAAAGAAGCGCTTCAGTGCATATGGCATGTCTAATTGGACACCAATTGTCTACCATGTGTGGATATAACATAACGAGGTGAGATGGGGTTTGATTTGCTTTCTGTTTCACAGATGGGTGAAGAGAAAATAACACGACATTTTATTTCAAATGTAACTCGGAAATAGTGAATAATAAGTATGTATGCAATATTAATTCTTACCCCAAAAGGTGTGTGTTTTTTAATATTCATAAGTTTGTTTTTGTTTTGTTTTTGTTTTCTTTGGGTGGGAGGGGTTAAAAAATTAAACCTTGTCATTCGGCTGTCTACCGAAGTTATACTTCCGTCACTGTGTTTGTTTTCATTCATTATTCTTATGGAAACCTGGAAGGTGATTTGTTTTTCAAACCCCACACGTTATATTCGGGTCAAACCTTTTTAAAACCAAATAATAAAAATAATAATAGTAATAAACAGCCCGCTATAAAAGAAAGGTAACAGAAGACTTGCATGTACTTATTGCCCAATTTCGTTAATTAGTTGTGTTAGCAACATATTAGAAAGAGTACTGGTAAAGTATATGACTAATTCTGTTCTTATACATAAATATCAATCAGGCTTTGAATCTGGACATTCTACTGTTCATCAGCGTATTAGAATTATTATGCTGTTTGCTATGCTTCAAATAAATGATGATATTTAATGATGTGTCAAAGTCTTTGATCGTGTATGGCACATTGAGTGTAAACTAAAAGGATATGGTGTACACGGTAACGTGTTGAACTGGTTTGAAGTTATTTAGGCCAGAGACATCAAAAGGTATTTTCAAATGGGACATTATAAAGTCCTCAGTATGTGTGGCGTCCCACAAGGCTCAGTCCTTGGACCGTCTTATTTATCATATATGTTAATGAAGTTGCGGATCGTCTTGATTGAACGCAAAGATGGTTTACAGATCACTGAGTACATTTTCACCTGAGCGTTATATTACGTAAACCATTGAACAGAAGTCTTGTCCACATGAATGATTCGGTTTGAACTTGGCTTGTGTCTTACAATCCAGAGAAAAAATAAGCATATGTTAAATATAACACTCAACAACACTATTTCCATACATCCTTAAATATCTTGTTACGGAATGTAGCTCATTGGAACTAAAGAGAAAACGTGAAAAACAACATTAATGATCAGATCGTGTAGTTAAAACGGGTTGGAATACAATTACAGGAAGAACCTGTTTTACAAGACTAACAACCAGGTAACTTTGTGAACAAATACTGTTGATGAAATATTAGCGTGCAAGTTAAGAAATTCTAAAAGGTTACCCATACCATACAGTAGCACTATTCAGTCATATTTCCGTATGCTATAGAATTAAGGAATGATTTGCTCACATCAATCAGAGTCAAGTATTTGTATCTCTCTTATAACCAAAATAAAAAGAAACACTGCGCCTTCATGCGACGATATATTGAGAGATTTAACTGTCTATAGTTCTCTGTGTTAACCTTTCACTTAAAATATCAACTTGATCACACTGCAAGAAATGTAATGTGTGAGTGAGTGAGTTTAGTTTTACGCCGCTTTTAGCAATATTCCGGCAATATCACGGCGGGGAACACCAGAAATGGGCTTTACACATTGTACCCATGTGGGGAATCGAACCCGGGTCTTCGGTGACGAGCGAACGCTTCAACCACTAGGCTACCCCACCGCCCTAATGTAATGTGTGTGTAATAACATAGGTGATATTCGTAAAATCAAGCTGTGTAAATTCGGTTTATATAAAATATGTTGTAATGAAACAATACATGACACATATACACATCATATTCACATAAGCCCCATGCATATGTACATCATATACACATTTAATGACACACAAATAAACCAATATGATATCACTCACTGTAATTATATCACATATGCACATCACACGAAGCACACATCACTTAAGAAACATCACATCGATTAAACATTATATTAGAGACACATCATATCTCACAAAGTTGATTTACATACATCCTATCATGCACACATCATACCATACATATATCATGCACACATCATACCATACATATATTAAACACTCGTCATGCCGAAGACCCGGGTTCGATTCCCACCATCATATTCACATAATATCATACACATATAACTTGACACACAAACCATATCACAGACATTTCATATCGTATACACATTACATCATACCCTGTCGTACCATATCACAGACATGTCATATCGTATACACATTACATCATACCCTGCCGTACCATATCACAGACATGTCATATCGTATACATATCGTATATCACATTATACATCACATATACCTGCCGTACCATATCACAGACATGTCATATCGTATACACATTACATCATACCCTGCCGTACCATATCACAGACATGTCATATCGTATACACATTACATCATACCCTGCCGTACCATATCACTGACATGTCATTTGGCACAGACTACGCCACAAGTCTACATCACCCCACCAAGGTAAAAGTAACCTCCGCTGAATGCAAAGTAAATTAAACAATTCCGACTGTGATGACACCAGGTGTTCGGGAAAAATTAAGTATATCAAGCTCCATCCATCACAAACACATGGCAAGGCAAGGCAACTGTTTGCCTGAAAAAATTTGGAAGACATCGTACAAATCAAAATAGCGAGATACATCAGACATAATTGTAGTCACTGATGCATTCAATTGGGAAATGTGTGCCGAATAGAAACAATAAAACTTTTTGAAGATTTAGGGTGACCTTGAATGATTTAACCATGATCAACAACTTTCTGAACAGGAATCGAATGATATTATCAGTATATGACAAATACTGATAGACTTTAACACTGCCAAGTGCATCTAAAAACACGTCATTTCAACTGTAGCAACAAATACTGAAATACCCCCTCACTGCCAAATGCGTATAAAGTTAAAACACAAGCCATTTCAAGTTTTGCACCAAATAGCTATTCATCATCTCACCGCCAAGTGCATATTAACACATGCCATCTCAGTTGTAGCACCAAATATTGCTACATTATCGCACTGCCGGGATATAATAGACAGTTGTCATTTCCATTATCACACGTATGATTGATACCTTATCCTAACGTCAACAACATATTGGGTTATTTCAATTATTGTACCACATATTCAATTACTCATTGGTCAGTCGGAGCGATGTGGATCTCATTCTGTCATTGTTGAGGATAATACAGTAGATCACCAACTATTGCTTATGACGTCACAGTGTAATATCTGGTCACCTGCGAAGTTGCTCTTCAGTTCCTTGACAATGAATTATGGACAGAATAGCCTATACTTGAAACTCATCATGATTGAGGATAATCTAAATCTGGTATGTGTGAATGCCAGTAAAGATCCGGGTTAGAATTATTGGTCTTCAGCAACCCAAGCTTGTCGTACAAGACTGCTAACGGGATCAGGGCCTAGATTTTCGAAGCTCTCTTAGCGCTAAGATAGTCGTAAGTAAGACATAATAGACACACGTCATGTCAATTATCACACCTATCACTGATAAAGCATCCTATTTTCAAGAACATATTCAGTTATTTCACATATTACATCTCAGGTAAAACAATAAATACACGCCGTTTCGGCTACTGCTCCAGATAAAACAGCAACTGTCGACAAGGAACAGTGTTGATAACACGTGTTCTGAAACAGAGAACAGGCACGTTGTTTGTTTGACTCTTTGATCTCGGCGTTATCAGAGGTCAGACACGGAGGTCACAGGCATACAGAAAGCAGCAGACAATGGGTTTTAATCAATACATCGGTCTATATCTGAGGCAGTGACACTGACATCGTTGGTGCTGATGTTGACGCGTAACTGTTCTCTTCTGAGACTCTTTTAACAAGATACATCTTCATTGGTAAATGTATTGGCACATATACCAATGAAGATGTATCTTCTTAAAGAGTGTAAGTTTCATTTTATAGCGGACTAACGGCATCGTATCCCAATTGCGTAGATCGATGTTCATGGTGTTGATCCCTGGATTGTCTGGTCCAGACTCGATTAATTACAGACCGCCGCCATATAGCTGGAATATTGCTGAGTGCGGCGTAAAACTAAACTCATTCACTCTGTTTCTAGCGGACGTTGTTATCACATGTGTAATCACACGAACACCAGTTTCCTTGTAAGTTAAACATTGATCACGGGTGTTCGTTTTTATTTATACATGCACCAAATAAGTAATTAGAGACTATAGCAACTTGGGGCGATGGGGTAGCCTAGTGGTTAAAGCGTTCGCTCGTCACCCCGAAGACCCGGTTCGATTCCCTATATGGGTACAATGTGTGAAACCCGTTTCTGGTGTTGCTTTTGTAGCAATTTAGTGTCCTAAGTGCTATGTTGTATGGGAACGGCCTTTAGCGCTAAGATCGCTACCTTAAGTTTGATTTTCGAAGCTCTCTTAGCGCTAAGATAGTCGTAAGCGCCATACATTAGCGCTAAGATCGTTCTTGCGCTACAACGGCACCTGTCTGTACATACACTGTGAAACACGTGGGATATGTACACAACGACAATGGCTTTCTTTTGAACTTGGTTTAAAGATATAATATACTCACACTAATATACATAACTGGTCTGACCACCTATGTGGTCAAGTGGATGGAGCGTCTGTCCCAAGAACGGTTTATTTTGTGATGTTTATTCATCTGCTTCTGTGAGCCAGACAGGGCAACAACAACTAACACTTTAAACGTCCTTTTCTATGACGTGGACTGGGATCGAACCTCCGATCTTGTGTTCTCCAAGCAGACGCTCTACCTACTAGACCAAGGACAACTTAACTGTGAAAATACACACTGACCATATTTAACGAGTATTGCCAAGAACATCAAGGCTCCGTTCCTCAAAGCTATCTTGGTTCAAATATGATCGTGTCTTATGCTTAAACAGAAGCTTACAATAGCCCTAGTGCTGAGATCAACGTGTAAAGATCCTGGGTGGAATTGATCTTCAGCAACCCATGCTTGTCGTAAAAGGCGACTAACGGGATCGGGCCCGCTGACATGGTTGACATGCCATTGTATCCCAGTTGAGTAGACCGATGCCCATGCTGTTGATCACTGGATTGTCTGGTCAAGGCTCGGTTACTTTACAGACTGCCGCCATATAGCTGGAATATAGCTGAGTGCGCCGTTGTGTAGACCAATGCCCACGCTGTTGATCACTGGATTGTCTGGTCCAGACCCGATTATTTACAGACTGCCGCCATATAGCTGGAATATAGCTGAGTGCGCCGTTGTGTAGACCGATGCCCATGCTGTTGATCACTGGATTGTCTGGTCCAGACCCGATTATGTACAGACTGCCGCCATATAGCTGGAATATAGCTGAGTGTGCCGTTGTGTAGACCGATGCCCATGATGTTGATCACTGGATTGTCTGGTCCAGACCCGATTATTTACAGACTGCCGCCATATAGCTGGAGTATTGCTGAGTGTGCCGTTGTGTAGACCGATGCCCATGCTGTTGATCACTGGATTGTCTGGTCCAGACCCGATTATTTGCTGGAGTATTGCTGAGTGTGCCGTTGTGTAGACCGATGCCCATGCTGTTGATCACTGGATTGTCTGGTCAAGGCTCGGTTACTTACAGACTGCCGCCATATAGCTGGAATATAGCTGAGTGCGCCGTTGTGTAGACCGATGCCCACGCTGTTGATCACTGGATTGTCTGGTCCAGACCCGATTATTTACAGACTGCCGCCATATAGCTGGAGTATTGCTGAGTGTGCCGTTGTGTAGACCGATGCCCATGCTGTTGATCACTGGATTGTCTGGTCCAGGCTCGGTTATTTACAGACTGCCGCCATATAGCTGGAATATAACCGAGTGTGCCGTTATGTAGACCGATGCCCACGCTGTTGATCACTGGATTGTTTGGTCCAGGCTCGGTTATTTACAGACTGCCGCCATATAGCTGGAGTATTGCTGAGTGTGCCGTTGTGTAGACCGATGCCCATGCTGTTGATCACTGGATTGTTTGGTCCAGGCTCGGTTATTTACAGACTACCGCCATATAGCTGGAATATAACCGAGTGACTGGATTGTTTGGTCCAGGCTCGGTTATTTACAGACTGCCGCCATATAGCTGGAGTATTGCTGAGTGTGCCGTTGTGTAGACCGATGCTCATGCTGTTGATCACTGGATCGTTTGGTCCAGGCTCGGTTATTTACAGACTGCCGCCATATAGCTGGAGTATTGCTGAGTGTGCCGTTGTGTAGACCGATGCCCATGCTGTTGATCACTGGATTGTTTGGTCCAGGCTCGGTTATTTACAGACTGCCGCCATATAGCTGGAATATAGCTGAGTGTGCCGTTAACCAACCAACAAGACAAACCCAGTTGTGTAGACCGATGCTCATGATGTCAACCACTTGTCAGGTTCAGACCACCGTCATATAGCAGGACAATTGGTGAGTGCGGCGTTGAACAACAAACAAACAAGAACGTACTTAGACCGCCCAGGGGAACGGGACCCACACAGTAAATATATGCTGGAGGTATTCAGCGGGTTTAGAGTGCAAGGGTTACCAAGTCAAATTCCAGTTGAGACTGTACCGCTGTACTTATTCCAAATTGTATTGATTTTTGCCTTGCAATACGACATGACAGATGCGTACTTTATAGTGATCGCCTTAACAGTATACAAGATATATTAGAAAAAAACTGTGGCAAAGCAGTCCAAATAGACGTTTTAAAAAAGATGCTAATTTTCAGAAACCGACGGGGATGAGTTTGGTGTTTATGAGACTGACATTCAGTCCTTGAAATAAAGTTATCTTTATATATATCTACGTAAATATTAATTAAAAAAGGCTAAAACCCAAAAGAAACCCAGGCCATTTTTTGTCCAATAATTCTTGACAAGAGTTGGACCCCTTCATCATTTTATTCTCCAGTCTGGAAGCCAGACTTGGTGCTTAGAGGTCCCTCATCGGGAGGAAATATTGGTAATGAACCGACGATCCGTTAAGGGACGTAACTATGCGTAATGTATTGCGTGGACTTAGATCACAGGTCTACTACTGGCCACAGAGCCAGCTGTAGAGAACCAGCAGCGTGGAACAGATAACACAGCGAGAAATGTGCATTATGATCAGACAACAATTACCTTTGATTACCGTTATTATGTTAAGACAATATGTGTAACGATGGCTTCAGGAAGTTAGGCTGTAATATCAATGTAATGTGAAATATAAGGTCAATGGAAAACATTATTTAGTAAAAATAGAAACGAAGTATCACTTTATATTTATTACAGTAACCATTACAATCAGCTGAAAGTTACAGTGTTGTGAATATGACAGACTAAATCTCATCTGTATAAACTTTTAAATGACGTAACCTAACAGTGCAACAAACTCTTCACTCCGGTCTGCTTCTTATAGCTGGGGTTCTATAATTAAGGTAATTCATTTATACTTATTAAATATCCTGTATCTTCATTTCTAAATTTCTACTGTATTTTATTATATTTCGTCTTTGTTTTTGTACCATTCTTAAATATTCAAATTCTGTAATATTTGTATTTTTTATCCTCATTATAATACTGTGGCGTGGTTATTGGGAACCTGGCATATGATGATACAGTCTATACAGTGTTATTGCACAATGTCATCTCCTTAGATGCTTTATAAAGTTGAACTGTACCACAAAGGGAAGGAAGTGAATGAGCGCTGTCTGGGCGTGACGCAGCCTGTCAGCTCAACACTACACAAACATGCCCCGTTTCTTTGTGGCTGTCTGTCATCGATAAAAATAGCCCATGACGTAATAATCACACTAACGGTTTCAACAAAACATCACCCAAAACGTCCTCTGATTGGCGTTGAAAGTATCTTTTCGATAATGTCAGTCGTGTGTTAGGTCTAATATTTAATTAATCTCTGAATGATTAATTGTAGACGATGTTCCTGTTCGTGAGAAAATGATGCAAGGTTCACTTCCGGGATGGAGCGAGCTCTCATTGCCAACAAACATGTACAGTTTCTGCATCTCTGAAACCACGAGAATGATATGACCGTGAAATAAATGTCAAGTGTGAATATTCAGCCGAACTTGTTGCTTCCAACATAACAAAACCGATGAGAAAGCTGTTTGTGTCTCTTGTATACAAACACGACAGCAACCATCATGTGGGTTTGTTTACATCGAACAGCTGACCGCAGTGTATCGCGTGTCAATCATCTCTGACCTTTGACCTTAAATCTCCCAAACAGTTACACGTCAGTATTTATCGGTTATACGAGCCTCTATTTACTAAGTATGTCAATTAATAGTGAAAATAGACATTACTGCGGCTTGTGAAGGCAATACAAGCTCAAAAATTTGGATTTTTTGTTTCAAATAGGCGTGGCTTATATGTACCACGTGACCAGGATACGTCACTCCCATAGCAGATATCTACTCCGCCATAGCTGTTGTTGTTGTGGAAGAAGACAGATCTGGACGGGTTATTTAGGTGAAATTTTCTCACTATGTCGTCCCCAAGCCCCGGTAAAAGACGGATGGACACTGACGTGGTCAAATTGTATCCTAGTTTCAAAGCATTTGTATGGTGTTGTTCGATTTAGAAGGCATTTGTGCAAATGTCACCTAACTTCTCGTTGGCATAAATTTCGTTTCACTCGGGCTCGGGCCCTCGAAAGGGCATAAATATTTGTCAGCTGGCAACCCCAACCGTTTTCTTATGCATGGATAACCGATTGAAGTTATATCGCCTTATATGGTTTAAGTTTAAAGTTGATGTATATGTGTAACGCTGCATGTTCGTCATCCTAAATAAGGTCATGCATAAGACCGTTCCAATTTTGTCGAGGGAGTCCAGATTGCATCGTTTGTAGGTAAACAGGTCACGGTTATGTTGTTGCCAGGTATGTGACCGTGAAACAGCCCTGCTCTCAATGAAACAAACCAGTCGATATTGTGTTTCGATTTATTTGCAAGTCGAGCTTTTAACGCACATTTGTAAGGTGGCAACATTTGGGCGTCTTGATGTGTTGCTGAAAGTCCCAAACAATTTACTGTTACAAGGGTAAGTGGTTGCAACATCCAGAACATGCTAACAACTGTTAACGTGGTAAGAATGACATAAATATAATATAATATGTAAATAGATTGTAAATAACGATTGGTGATTACCTATAACAGGCTTTAATTAATTATGGGAGATTTGAAATCTATTTATGATGCAAACTCTTGTTGATTGTAAAGAAGCAACTGAAAACAATTCATCGCTTATTCAGAGTCGTGCAATAAATATTCAAACACTGATTTGTTAGTTGGTGGTTAAATAACTAGTCAGATGTTATTTAGTTCACATGTATTGTTCAAGAATTCAAGAATCCTATTGAACATGTAACAATTGAGGGATTAGCAGCAGTTGAAGTAATTGGCTCTCTCCTTGTTAGTAATTTGACTGTAGAAGGCAGAAGAAATGTGATGAAATTGATCAGCACATAAGCCTCGTTATATGGTGAATTTCTGCAGGAAGTCAAAATTTGAACTTGATACATGTATGTGTGTCAAGCTCATTTTGTTATGTTAAATAAACAGCATGATTGAAATACTTACTTATTATGCCAATGGCCCTATTTCAGGTGTACAATATTATTCATTACTTCTGTGATGAGAAATAACTATTTCTATAACTGCTTATAATTATGTCAATGATTTCTTAAATTTCGTTCATAGTTTCTCTCAGGAAGTATGCTGACTGTGTTACCAAGGTTACATGGGATAATATTATCCTTGCAAAAGTTACTTGACAATCATAATATTTGATACAATAATAAAACTAATTCTTGTGCCACTGTAAGCCAGCGTTGTTATTCATGTATAATCAGAGATAAAATAGACAAGCAATGTTCAGTTTAATATTTGTGCAGTACAAGCACAAACCTATATTCATACCAGCCATTTGCTTTTGATAGTAGGTGTTCTTGTTGTTGAGAATCAAAGGCTAGAGCTTCAGTTTTGATGTTAATTGTGATATGACTTTTTTTGTTGTGATCCTTGACCCTTGTTCAGAATAGAAAGCAAGCATGAGGTCACAATTCTTGGAGGCCTGAATGAGTTCATGGTGAAATTTTATGGTCCACCAGGAAGTGAGTATATTTTATTATTGTTTTGTTCTGAATTATGTCTGTTTTACCTTCACATTCAGTTGAGCCTGTAATTCTACTTCCTTGAATATGGGGGCTGTGGGGTAGCCTAGTGGTAAGAGCATTTGCTCCTCATGCCGACAGCCCGGGTTCGATTCCCCACATGGGTACAATTTGTGAAGCCCTTTTCTGGTGTCCCCCGCCGTGATATTGCTGGAATATTGCTAAAAGCGGCGTAAAACCAAACTCAGTCAGTCAGTCCTTGAATATGTATTAAGATATGTAGACTGAATATTTGAAAAAGAATTTAATTGTACTCTCATGATATTTGATTGTGCGTTAATTGGTATGATTTGATGGAAAAATGAGGCAACTTTGTTACACCTTTATGTGGTAAACAGAGGTACCTGTTTGCTGGGTCTGTACTTACTACAATATACACTTACAATACAGGGACCCTATCTGCAAAACTTTTGTACCATTACGACCCATCATAACTCTATACTTTATCATAGGCTTACAATTTAATGCAAATGGCACAGAGCTACGGAAGTTTTGTGGGTTGCTCCCAATTTTTATTGGAGAAACAAGTCGCTGAAATATATTAATCCTGCTAGTTTCATCTCAGTAATATTTTCTCCATTTGACATATTGTTACTGAGAAAAGAGCGTCAGGTCCTGCTAGATACTGTCATACATTGACTTGGGAACAGTCTACTATATAGTATGTCTACGAACATCATCTCCAGACCGCAACAAATATAAACACAAGAAATGCCAGTCCGACAGCATCACTCCAGCACGTGCAGCTTCACTGATGACTGGTGAGAGCAAGAGTGGACTTAACAGTTCTGTCCTTGATGTATTAGTGTGTGCATTCTCTCTGTATCCTGCTCACGGCACAATCAGGGTCATGTGTTCTGGACAGAAGCATTTCCTTGACGTCCCCAGAAAACTCAAGTCATATCCTTAAAACCTTCATCACACCGGGCCATGAATCAGAACAATCTTCAAGAGTACGTTTTTACAGTGCCAAGTCATTCTTCTTTCAAAGAACAGGAAGATTTATCTTTCTAATCTCTTTTATAACAAGTATTGTGCCATGAGTACATTATCAATCTCAATTTTTGCACCATGTGATTGGAATTATATTTATTATTACGATACCCATAGTTTGACGTTGTTCTGACTAACGTTTTTACTTTCAGCCCCCTATGAAGGTGGTGTCTGGAAGGTCCGGGTAGATTTGCCAGAGAAGTACCCATTCAAGTCACCCTCAATAGGTAATGAGTCTAAATAAGCAAGCCTGTGATGTTATTGTTTCCATACTGTAACATATATAAGTGTAACAAGTTGATACCCCATACAGTACACTCAACCATGTTTGACCTTGACCTGTGACCTAGAGTCCACGGAATCCCCCATAATTAGTTTCAAGGGTCCATACAGGAAACATGAGGATCCTGTTAGTAGTGAAATGGTCCAGAACCGGTATACTGTGCTATAAGACTTGGTTGTTACTTTATTTACAGGACCTCTATATTGATCACTAAGTTGGTTCACTGAATGTAACTTTCTGCCCTTCAGGATGCACTATATTATTTTTATCAAGACTTTAAAGGCTGCTGCATGCTCATTTTTGTGTTGTGTAAGCCTCTTCATCACTCATCATTTTCCGGGGCAGTCGGGTAGCCTAGTGGTTTAAGCATTCACTCCTCACACCGAAGACCCGGGTTCGATTCCCACATGGGTACAATGTGTGACGCCCGTTTCTGGTGTCCCCCGCCATGATATTGCTGGAATATTGCTAAAAGTGGCATAAAACAGTACTCCCTCACTCTCACTGTTTCCCCTAGAGATGTGAATCACTACAGACAAGCGGGCAGAATAGACACAAACAGTGCATTAGTAATCTTGACTCAAATGTTAGAACTTTTGTAGGTATATTAATAAAATAGAGATTAAGGAAAACCAAGTTCTTTGGATAGTCAACTTCTCTGTTGCCATAAGTGCGACGTTTCTGTGAAGGTACTGACACCGTTATCAAGCAAGTGATACAATGAGTTGAAACAAGGAAAATATATACATAGCTGCATAGTGAGCATATACAATTGACAAGGTTGATGTACATTGGACATCTGATTAGTGATTTCAGCTGAGTAGGTTGATGTACAGTGTGATTGATTGTGATTAGAGGTTGAGTTTATACAATGGTGAGTTGATGTACAATGAGATGGTAATATGTAAGTTGAAGTACACTGTGATTGATTGTGATTAGAGGTTGAGTTTATACAATGGTGAGTTGATGTACAATGAGATGGTAATAAGTAAGTTGAAGTACACTGTGATTGATTGTGATTAGAGGTTGAGTTGATGTACAATGAGATGGTAATAAGTAAGTTGAAGTACACTGTGATTGGTCGTGATTACAACACACAAAGGGAAGCACTGAAGCCAGATGGACAAGTGAGGTATGGGTGGATTACTGGCAATCGTCTTTGATTATGTGGTGATAGGCTGAGGAGATGAAATAACCTTGATCATGATGTAGTGTTGTTTTTTTATGGCTTCAAGGACTTTCCTAATCTTGTAGTCTGTTCGGTTGATATCCAGGATGTCGTCGTTGTTCCATGGGATGGCATGGTCAGGGTTGGCTTGGGTGTGGTCAGCTATGGCGGATTTCAAGTTTTTTTTCTGGACTGAAGTTTTGTGTTCTTTGATTCGTAGTGGGAGCGGGTGGGACGTTTCACCAATATAGGAGTCTCTAGATTCACAACGGATCTGGTAGACAATCCTCATCTTTTGTTGTTGTTTGCGGTTTGCCTGTGGCATAACGATGCCATAACTTCATTACTGCAGAGTATAGTCAGCTGTATCTGTTTGTATTCATACATTCCCCACATGGGCACAATGTGTTAAGCCCATTTCTGGTGTCCCCCGCCGTGATATTGCTGGAATATTGCTAAAAGCGGCGTAAAACTAAACTCAGTCAGTCAGTTGTATTCAAACATTCCCTAGCACCATGTGGGAGCAGCCATTTTGAATGCCAGTGCACATTACAGGAAATCCCGTTCAGGGTCCTGATCCACTAAGTGTTCGTAGTGCTACGACATTCGTAAGCCTACGGTAAACAGAAAAGTTATGACAGGTCGTAATGTTATGGATGCTTAGTGGAATGGGACCCAGGATGATAACATACATTGTGGTTAGTTTCTGGGTCCAGGACAAATGATGCTGAACGATTCTTGCACTCTGATGATGTTTAGGAAATCCAGCTCTCAGGTTTACAGGTTTACATGATGTTTACTGTTTTGTTCAAAAATAAATTGAATGATGTAATTGTTTTAAGTTTAATTGGAACATCAAAACGTATGGGCATGTTCATTTTCCCAAAGGCTCACCTAAATCATCTGTTTGGTGCCCCGTGTGGACCCCTAAGCTAAATTTCATTCTGTCCCTGCAATAACTGATGCAACAATGTGCTTCAAGGTCAGGATTTAACATGAAAGTCGTATCCCATATGCTAAATAATAAACATTTAAGGATGCCTTCATTCAAATACTTTGAGAGCAAAAACCTTAAAGACATCAGTTGATCCTCCCAGTCATTGTTCATTTCAAACACTGCTACTGCTGTCATTGAAATAGCTTGGTTTATTGCAATCCAAACATTGACATCAAGGTAGTAATCGAAATATGCACTTTTTATGCATAATGTTACATACTGTGATGACAGTAATTCACGTTTATCTGTTCGGTGATTACCATGTGTTCATAACATAACTCAGAAATGCATGTTTTTCTTTGCAGGTTTCATGAATAGAATATACCACCCCAATATTGATGAAGTGTAAGTATTGTCAAAGCCCAGTGGTAGAAACTGTACAGCTTTTAAAATGTCAGTCGCTCTAAAAAGATGATTTTGTTTTGACTTGTGACCTTTGTCATTATGTTGGTGAAGATAGGCCCCGATTATCCACTAATAGTTTACTAATGTGGATTAGATGTCACAGTGGCAGCTTGGCATGGATTGTACTTGAATCTGGGACCACCTGGGATGACCAGCTTTCTTCTGTTACCATAGTAACCGGGGCAGTGGGGTAGCCTAGTGGTTCATGCGTCAGCTTGTCACCATAGACCCGGGTTCGATTCCCCCACATGGGTACAATGCGTGAAGTCCATTTCTGGTGTTCCCCGCCGTGATATTGCTAGAATATTGCTAAAAGCGGCATAAAACTGGACTCACTCACTCACTCAATCACTACTGTAGTAACCTGCCTTTGGTAACTTTGTCATCAGCCAGGTTTGTCTTAAAACCTTCACTCACTATGATGAATATGGACCATATGACACATGCTGTCACTATGAATACACAATGATATTTAGAAAACGGTCAGATGTAACATACATTATATTTCGGATTACACTTTCTCATTAAAGTACAGATTCTAGTACTTTTTGTTGGGTTGAGTCCCATCCAGGATTCCCAGCTAGTGATTGGGTGCCTGAATCCCAGGGTGCCGTTCCACTAACCGATCTTAACGTAGATCAATCTGAGCAAGTTGCGCCAATTTTACAATCGTCTTAGCTAAAAGTTACACCCATTTCACTAACCGATCTTAGGCCGATCGTAGCCGGTCCCGATCTTACGATCCAATCTAAGCTTAGATCGAGACTCTTTCGTGCGAGAGATAGAAAAATACGAGGCACGAGTTATCTCCTTTTGCATAGTCTTGCAGACGAAGGAAGTAGTTTTGGAACCAATTGAAAAACATGGAGAAAAAACCTCGAGAAAAAATATTAGGGTAGTGAGCACCTTGGTTTCAGGTGCAAGTGCATGTGAATGCCTCTACCTCGCCATAAGCACATTATCTGATAACATATCTAGAATTTGTTAGTGGTCTTGAAAAACACATGGCCTGCCTTAAAATTCAGAATCCCCCACCAAATAAGCGCAGTGAAATCAAACATATTTGTATCCTTTTGTTTCACAACATTGTTCACTTCATGACCCGTCCCTATTATTAACCATGACGTTGCAATATTGTTGTACTCTATTTCTATGTACAAATGTATTACACCGACTCGGCTGTGTTCTCATGACAACAGTGGTCAGACTGGCCTCACATTTGTAAGGCTTCAGTGCAGTGTTTGTTTACATCACAGAAATAAACATATTCATTTCATGGGGGTTTTTAGGGGACGCTCACGGTGAAATGCTTGCTCTTCTTCTTCACATAGAATAGGGCCGGTGGGGTAGCCAAGTGGTTAAAGCGTTGTCTCGTCACGCCGAAGACCCGGGTTCGAATCCCCACATGGGTACAATGTGTGAAGCCCATTTCTGGTGTTCCTCCGCCATGATGTAGCTGGAATATTGCTAAAAGCGGCGTAAAACCAAACTCAGTCAGTCAGTCAGTCACATAGAATATGAAAGCCACCATTTTGGTTTCTCTACGATTGATTTTAGCGATTCTAGGTTGGTCATGAGCAACTTAGACTTTGGATCTTAACTTTACGATTGACATGAGTAAGATTGGTTAGTGGAACGGTATGCCGATCGTAACGTCATGCTAAGATTGGGATTTTAGGGGTTTACGATTGGCGTAGGGCTAAGATCGGTTAGTGGAACGGCACCCAGGGCTGCTCATCTCACTGATGGCCTGGGTTCAGGTCCCCATATGGGTACAATGTGTGAAGAACAATTCTGCTGCCCCTGGTGCTACACTACTGGAATCTTGCTAATACCAGCATAAAACCATACTCACTTACTTCATGGAGTGAAGGCCTATGTGGAGAAAGTGGGACAGTGAAACCCCTGTCTCAGAAGAGCATCCAGTTCTTGACCCCAATCTAAGGCTATGCAGCAGTTAGGGGTGGCCATTGGAATAGTCTTGTGGTTAAAGCATTCGATCGTCGTCACCAAAGACCCAGGTTCGATTCCCCACATGGGTAGAATGTGTGAAGCCCATTTCATGTGATTCCTGCTGCAATATTGCTGGAATATTGCTAAAAGTGGCGTAAAGCTAAACTCGCTCACTCAAAGTTTCATTATTCCTCACGTCTTGTACAGACATGCGATGCTGACATTCTGAATAGGGATGGTTTCCTTCAGTTTATGTATGGATTTAGTGCTTGTTTGGGGGGTAACCAAGGATTGGCAGCTGGATGGGCTTATTGTCCTCTTAACTAGTTCCTGTTTCATCTTTATCTGATGAAATATCATTGTAGATTGTAGTAGGAGGGTATTGGGCAAGATATTTGTTTGATTTTGTCACACCCAGAGAGCAGGGTCTGTTCAAACAAATGTTTGTTCAGTGTGTACTTCTGTGACTTACCTAATGCTAGGGCTCTTGTATCAACATTCTATCCTCAAACTACTCCTCGCATGTTGTGCACTTGAAAGAAAGAAGTGATTTACTTGAATGTGGATATTTATGGCATTACAATGCTCCTCTCACACAATTAGATGTTGCAAACATGTACTAGGAGCAGATAACATACATTTCGTTTCTGTGTTAGCACTGAAATACAGTGAAACCTGTCTCAACCCTCACCCCACGGGACCGAAATAAAATGCCAGTTTAGACTGGATGCCGGATTAGACATTGACAATCATTTTCCATTGTAAAATGGCGGGATCAAAATGTTATGCCGGTTTTGACAGTGTGCCAGATTAGACAGGTGCTGGTGTTGGCAGGTTTCACTGTAGTACTGTGTTCTCAGGAAAAGTGTACTAATACCATGAATGTTCGAAGGTATTGTCTATTAACGTGAGTAGCATGCTAAACACCCTCTACATATGATGAGGTTATTTGACAGTAACGACACATTGCTATTTTCTTCAGATCTGGCACGGTGTGTTTAGATGTCATTAACCAGGCATGGACAGCGTTGTATGGTGAGTTGTAGATGAAACTGATATTGTGTGTGATTCTCAATATTTGAGGGCGGTGGGGGTAGCCTAGTGATTAAAGTGTTTTCTCGCCATGCCGAAGACCTGGGTTTGATTCCCCACATGGGTACAATCAGCGTTTAAAATTCCCGCCTGCCCGACCGTCCGGAACGGTCTATTGTCATCTCGGACGGTCAAATTTCAAAAGTAGCCTGTCCGGTGGTCTGGTTGATATTTTTACCCCTAACTGTAAATATTTGATAATATCAGACAGCTTCTCCTGTCGTCAGTTTGAGGTGTTTAAGGTATTATGAAAATTATATTAAACTACATACGATTGTACAGTTCATGTTACGATAACCAATCATAACACGTGTACTTTCAGTTTACCTTAACTCGGTGCATTGCCTGTTAGTGCTATGTAGTTAATTGCGATGCCTACAAATAGTGAATTGATCTTGCGCGAGTTGGCAATGGCAGTCACAGTTTTTTATTGTTGAAAACCGGACAGGCAAGTTTGTATCCGGACTGGTAATTTTTTTAAATTACCAGTCCGGCTGTCTGGCTTGGAATTTTGGGAGTTTTAAACACTGGTACAATGTGTGAAGCGCATTTCTGGTTTCCCCCCCACTGTGATATTGCTGGAATTTTGCTGAAAGAGATGTATATAAAACTAAATTCACTCACTCACTCAATATTTGATCCACTGGCCTCGCTTTCACCATTTTCCACAATTTCCATTCCACAATTTCCACAGTTGTGCAAGTATCTATGTTGCCAACGTTGACATACTAATCATATATTGATGTATTTTAAGGAACAATGTGTACACAATCACACAGTTAGCTGTTATCCTATGTATGTTAATGTTTTATGTGATGAATATGTGGTGAGGGTCCCACTACCATAAATATATGCTTATATTGTCATGGCATTATGTGCAGAACAACAGCCAGTTTACAAATGTGTAAGTGGGAGTACTTATACATTCACTGTTTGGGTTGTTGCTCACCATGTTGACCACTTGATTGCATTATAATGGTTGGTTGGTTGGTTGGTTGGTTAACACCACACTCAGCAATATTACAGCTATATGGCGGTGGTCTGTATATAATCGAGTCTGGACCAGACAATCCAGTGATCAACAGCATGAGCATCAATCTACGCAAGTGGGAGCATTTTAATGGCCTATTTTACTTGGATGTAATGATAGTGCTATTTATCACAATTCAATGTGCAGAGTTGCATCCCTCAACAGAAACGTGATTGATGATTTTGGGTTCGATTCTCTGGGAAGTCTGAGACCTGTATCACTTTCGGCTTTCCCCTCATGAAGCTGACAACCCGTGAAGATCCGGGTTAGCATTGATCTTCAGTAACCCTTACTTGTCATAAGAGGCGACTAACGGGATCGTGTGGTCAGACTCGCTGACTTGGTTGATATGTGTCACCATATCCCAGATGCATAGAATCGAGCTCATGCTGTTGATATCTGGATTGTCTGGTCCAGATTTGATTATTTACAGATCTCCGCCAAAAACTGGAATATTGCTGAGTGTGGCATAAAACTAAACTCACTCACTCACAAAGCAGACAGCTCACTTCAGCATCAGACCCTCCTCACTCGCTCACTCACTCTTGTACGGTTTATTTCAGACCTGTCCAACATATTTGAGTCCTTCCTGCCTCAGCTGTTGACATACCCCAACCCAATAGATCCTTTAAATGGGGATGCTGCAGCACTATATCTACACAAACCAGAGGAATACAAGAAAAAAGTTAGAGGTGAGTCATATTGCTCAAAGCATCCTATGCTATCATTTGTGGATCCTGTAATTACATACACTGTGGATCTATCCATTGCCATGTCACTCAGATAGCTTCCAGTCATATTACAGCATTTCATCTTGATAGAAAGCCTCTCCTGGACATAGCTTTCTACTGTCCCGCTGTCTGATGAAGTTGCGACTAAACTACAACATACATTTTATTTAAAGGAAATAATCACAAGGGCTGTATTTCAGAAACACTGGCAAAGACAGGATGTTTGTATAGTCCGTCAAAGTAGTCTGATACTGTTTGCTTGGAAGCATGGTTGTATCTTGTTTTTTGACTCTGTGAAGTCTGTTGATGGTCTTGCATCTGTCTAATGAAGACTCCAATATAATATTACTGGAAACTGCTGTTGGTGAAATAGGGAGTTAGCACTAAATTTATCAGGTGTTCAGGAATCATATGGGTGTATTTCACTGCCGACAATATTGTCTGGGTTTGGTGTGGCATTGTACAGAGCGATCATAAACTCCTGGGCCTAGATTTTCAAGCTCTCTTAACGCTAAGATAGTCGTAAGTGCCATACATTAACATTAACTTACGTACGACTATCTTAGCGCTAAGAGAGCTTTGAAAATCTAGGCCCTGTAGTTTAACATTGACAACTGTGGTAGCGTTAAGGTTTGCTTTGTATGACGGCGCATCACCAGAAGACAAAGTTTTATAGGTCATAAAAATATTCAGTAATAAACATGATAGTTAACTTTGATTTTTTCAATGCAGTGTTGGATGAAATTATTGATGGTGCTCTAAATATGAACCTAAAATAACTGATGGGATTGTCATGGTGCTGTAATTTGTCGTGGGTGATACGATATTGGAGCCACAACAACAAGGTGACACGGGATCTTGTTAACTAACAGCTGCAGATGAAACGTGTATTTTGAATAAACCATTACTCTATTTTATTCTAGCACAGATAACATCAGCTAGGTTTCCTTGGCTGTTGGAAATTATGTACTCTTGATCGGTGATGGTGAATATTAGTTTATATCTAAGTATTAGTGAGGGAGTAAGATTTCCCGCCGATTTTTGCAATAATCCAGCAGTATCACAGCAGGGATCACGTGAAATGGGCTTGTCTATTGTACCCATGTGGGGATTTGAACCTGGGTTTTCAGTTTGATGAGCGAACACTTTAACCTCTACGCTGTCCCACCACTACCAGTTTCTTAGAAGTTGACAGATGACAGAGTAGGTACAGTGTACGGATAACTTGATATTTTAGCATAAGAAAAGAGTATCATCCAGTGAAGGCATTATGATAGGTGAGATTGTGGATACAGTATTTTAGTTTTGACCTTGCAGTCACAAAATAGAAATTCTGAACTTTAGAAACTTCTGCTATTTTCCCTTTTGTTACCACTGTGAGCCCTTGTTGAGAATTCATTGATTGAAGTCAGTGTTAGTTTTGTTGTCAAGGGAGGCATTGTTACCTGAGCCATTGTTATCAGGTAACGTGGTTATATCGAATTGGATAACAGTGATAACACAATGTGGGATAAGTATGTCATCATCTGCATAGTGATATAACAGGGCTGCTGTTGCTATGAATATTGATTGACGCATCATTGTGCATTGCCACCAGCAGTTACCTCCCTTTCATGAAGATGTTCTGGGATCAGTTATCTATACTTCAGGCCTTGTCTAGACATTCGGAATAGTACCATGTGTTGTTCCTCTCAGGTTGAAACATTCAAAACCATGTCTTTTTTAAAATGGTGCTTGAGGGCATGAAGGTTTTTCTCTAAAAATTCTGAATTCTAAAATTAGTTTCAATACAATCTGTTGTGTACTCACATGTTGAGCATATATCGCCTCAAGCAGACTTTTGAGAGGCCCCAAGATTGTTCTTGGGAGCCTCAAACACAATCTCGACCTTTGGAATGGTCTAATACCTTTGTGGAGGTGTTTCGTTGTTAACAATGAATTATTACATTAATAAACACACACTTTGAACAAGTGATGACAAAAATGTCATTGTTTTATTTCTTTTATAGTGAGTATCATTTCATGCTGCTTTCAGGAGTATTCTCGCCAAACATGACAAGTACTAATCATTACATGTGTAATACATGACAGGTACTAGTCATTACATGTGTAATGCATGACAGGTATTACTAGTCATAACATCTGTAATACATGACACATACTACTCACTACATGTGTAATACATGACAGGTACTAGTCATTACATCTGTAATACATGACAAGTACTACTAGTCATAACATGTGTAATACATGACAAGTACTACTAGTCATTACATGTGTAATACATGACACATACTACTCACTACATTTGTAATACATGACAAGTACTACTAGTCATTACATCTGTAATACATGACAGGTACTACTAGTCATTACATCTGTAATACATGACAAGTACTACTAGTCATAACATGTGTAATACATGACAAGTACTACTAGTCATTACATGTGTAATACATGACACATACTACTCACTACATGTGTAATACATGACACATACTACTCACTACATGTGTAATACATGACAGGTACTAGTCATTACATGTGTAATACATGACACATACTACTCACTACATAATACATGACAAGTACTACTAGTCATTACATGTGTAATACATGACAGGTACTACTAGTCATTACATCTGTAATACATGACAAGTACTACTAGTCATAACATGTGTAATACATGACAAGTACTACTAGTCATTACATGTGTAATACATGACACATACTACTCACTACATGTGTAATACATGACAGGTACTAGTCATTACATGTGTAATACATGACACATACTAGTCACTACATGTGTAATACATGACACATACTACTCACTACATGTGTAATACATGACACATACTACTCACTACATGTGTAATACATGACAGTTACTAGTCATTACATCTGTAATACATGACAAGTACTACTAGTCATAACATGTGTAATACATGACAAGTACTACTAGTCATTACATGTGTAATACATGACACATACTACTACTACATGTGTAATACATGACACATTACATGTGTAATACATACTACTCACTACATGTGTAATACATGACACATACTACTCACTACATGTGTAATACATGACAGGTACTAGTCATTACATGTGTAATACATGACACATACTACTCACTACATTTGTAATACATGACACATACTACTCACTGCATGTGTAATACATGACAGGTACTAGTCATAACATGTGTAATACATGACAAGTACTACTAGTCATTACATGTGTAATACATGACACATACTACTCACTACATTTGTAATACATGACAAGTACTACTAGTCATTACATCTGTAATACATGACAGGTACTACTAGTCATTACATCTGTAATACATGACAAGTACTACCAGTCATTACATCTGTAATACATGACAAGTACTACTAGTCATAACATGTGTAATACATGACAAGTACTACTAGTCATTACATGTGTAATACATGACACATACTAGTCATTACATTTGTAATACATGACAAGTACTACTAGTCATTACATGTGTAATACATGACAAGTACTACTAGTCATTACATGTGTAATACATGACAAGTACTACCAGTCATTACATCTGTAATGCATACAAGTACCAGTCATTGTGGGCATAAAATATGTCAGTTCAGGTGCAATTGAACTACACTCTTGGAAATGTGACAGTTTGTCTCTTGCTACCTGGGTTTTCCCTTAATTATGATGGTTAGTATATATATGCTATTGTTTACATTATTTTTCAAATAAACTATGTTTTTTTCTTCTTCTTTTTCCAGAATATGTTCAGAAATATGCTACAGAAGAGGCATTAAGAGAGCAAGAACATGCATCTTCATCTAGTGAAAGTTCCATGAGTGATTTCTCTGAAGACGAAGCTCAGGATATGGAGCTTTAACATCTCATTTAATTTAATCTGTACATAATTCATTTGTAAATACTCTAGACCCAACATTCTTGCAGTCATGCAGATGGCACGGGGATATGTTATGACAACTAGTTGCCTGTGTTCGACTTCAACGTCAGGCGTGTGCGTACTTTGTTGCAGCTGTTGTAAGGACTCTAAATATTTTATTATCGGCGCAGAAATTCCTCATAAAGTACATATTATTAGCTATTCTCAAAAGTACTAAAAAATTCTCATTTGAAATATATTTATGATTTAAGCAAATGATTTTATGAGACATTAGTTACAGATAGTGTCATAACAGATAATTTTGGCTTGGCATTGACATTTTATTGACAAATATTTGTTTCAAAATTGGTTGTATTCATTCACAAGATGTCGTGACAACAGTTGGAACAAAATATGAATTCCGATCTCCTGATAGTGTGGTGATTGTAGCGTGCCGTCATCATCAGATGTCGTCTTCATCATCATCATTTTTTGCATGGCTGTCATCTCATATTGGCCAGCACCAACACCACTGTCTGTACAGGATTGTAGTTTTAGTCACATTACTTAATGAAAGCCCGCAGTTTGTTCATGTACAGTGTTTGCGTCACTCATCAGCTGGTTGACGGAGGCTGCTTCAATAGTCATTATTTATCACAGGAATTTTAACTTCATTGTTTCTTTATCGTTTTCAGTTGTTTTTAATGGGGGAAATCATCGTCAGTGATATGATGTAAATGTGTAGTGTTCATGCACCAGGTTTGGAAGTCCTCCAAACCTATTTCACATTGGGGGATAAATTCCTTCTTCACATCGGGAAACGAATTCCTATTTCACATCAGGAGAACTATTTCTTCTATTAATGTTCGTTTAAATCTAGTCATCACTATATTCCACAAAACTCAGGTTCAAGACGATGTTGGAATTTTCTACTTTGGTAGTGGGTTTTCTTTGCAAAGTAAGCCTAGAAAATAGGTGAAGCAAATAGACTAGAAATTCTATTTCACGAACTAATTTTTTGCACCTCACAATGCAAAATACTCATTTTGATATAGGAAGTTTTGAAAGTAAAGTGAAATTGATTTGCTATATTGGAAAAGTTTTCAGTCACCCAACTGATGTTGTGATCATGCCTGCCCTATTTCTTTGTGTGCGTAGTGATACTTGTTGGAGATGTTGACCATATTTGGTCATGGGATTGTTGCCATGGATACCGGGAGTGGAGACAAGATTCTCTTCATAGACAGTCAAGGTTGTAGCATCAACAGTGAATCGGACTTGAAAGCAAAAGATTACAAATGAAGCATATTGTTTTTTGTTTAACATATTTGGTGATTTCATAAAGTCTATGAACATATTTTGTATGTAGATTTATGATTTACATATATTGACATTTTTGTTATTTTTACATATGGAATGGAATTAATGAAGTGAATTGTTTGTACATGACTGCTGCAATGTTGACTGACTGTGAAGCGTAGGTGTGGAGGTGCAGAGAATATTTGTTATGTAGTTTGATGACAGACTCGTTGACTCCAGGCTGAAATAACGAAGACCCAAGAAATCTCTGAACAAGTCTATACAGCTATACAAGAAATCATCATTATTATATTATGTTTTGAGACTGAAGTGTGATATTTCCTGTTGACCTTACCTGTGAACTTAAATCCCCTGAACTAGTTCATGAACGACCTCATCAAACAAATGTGGTGTTCCTCACTCAAGGAATCTAAGATGAACCTATTAGTTGGCCATGTGCTATTTTAACACACATCCTATTGTCATTGGAAAACCTGTATTTTCTAAGAAAAATAAACAAATGAAATTTCCATGTTGACTCATTGCAAATTGTGATGAAATTTTGGAAAACTGATTCTATTGGATAAGAGATGTGATCTCCATGGCAACCTATTCAAAGAGAGGCTTTGGGTTGTGCGTTGTCCTCATCACTGGAGTCTGTGATCTGGTATGTGATGATAAAACCCTTTCTGTATCTTAATGAACTTGCTGTAATTAATCTGTACAATATTGATATCTGTAGTCTTAGTTTCATGATTGATGTATTTGAATCTATCTGATCCTGATGTGTAAACTGTATATTTTAACCCTAGTGGTAGGGAGTTTGAGAACTACACAATGAAGCATAAGACTATATACCCATATGCAAAGTCTCTTTGTTCTACTTTTGTACCAAGCGATATAGAAGACACAGCTGGTTAGCCTACACTGGGAGTGTGTGATTCTTGTCCTGTCGGCAATATTGTTCAGACAATGGGGTTGTGAGCACTCCCATAGATATTCGACATTTTTCAACAACAGTATACCATAATATATTTAGGAGAAAAATTTCATATTGTTATAGAGATTTTACAGTTGGTTGCCAACACTGCCACCTGCCAAATTTTAAAAAATAAATCATATTGCTGTGACGATTTTGTAATATGGTCTGTTTATTTTGGACGAGTTTGGCAATGTGTGGTTGGTTATTAATAACCAAAGTGTTTTGGATAATAGCATTTTTCAAGAGGTGATGTGACTAAGTGTTCTGTAACGTGCAGTCATGTGACAGTTGATATTTGTTACTTATGTAACCCATTCTCCCCCCCCTTGTGATGAAATGGTCCGAATAGTTGTGAGGTGAATAGTATGTGGAATTCTTTAGGGAAACGGTTTTCCTAGATAACATTGATGTGTCAGTACTCCATTGATGTTTCCCTATAGTTCAATACATACTTGTCCCAGTTATCTCCAGGGGAAATGTTTTGCCATCTTTTTCATTGTTTAACATTGTGAACAGAGAAGAGTGTTTTAAGAAATGACACGGCCAGAACTGCGAAAAAACATTTCCTGGTTATTTTATTTGATACAAATTAAGGCAGTTATGTATCTTTTTTCCAAGTATGATACAAGGTACAAAGCTAGGTTTGCAAAATATCCACATAAATGTTGCTAAGGTATGTGTTGTTTCACGGCGACCACGCTGACGTGAGGGAGAATATTTTAGATGTTGCAAAATCTAAATACAAATGTTTTTCATGTGGCCATGTGTAATGACTTTGAGGGATTACGCAAAGGACATTTATAAAGGGGGTAAAACTAATTGAAATAATTGGTTGACAAAATTGACAGCATAAGATCTTGGTTTGTGTGACTGGGCATTATCATCGGAAATACCTCATAAAGTGGCCAAATCAGATTCGCACATCCCAAAGTCATTAGGTTTCACATTTCTTTCATTGTTAGTCCCCTTGGCACACCAGAAACCTATTGTGGGTTTGAATCCTGGATTGCACAAATAATGTTTTTTGGTGTGTCGGCGCCATACTGTGCTTGTTGGCATCAGCAAAATGGTAAATATCTAACTCCATGAAGCTGACATGGCGTGTTACAACTGAGAAGAAGTGTAAAACTCACTCACTCTGTCATCGTTAACCTATGATGTATAAAGAATATAATGGTGATACTATGATATCAAGTTGCACCTTAGTAAAGTAATATGTTGTATGTTAGGTGAAGGGAAATTTTATATTTTCAAAATACAAGTAATGTATTTAATGGATTTATTTCAAGAAAATGTTTCATAAATAATTAAACTCTTACTCATATTTTGGGACATTTGATACCTCTGTTTCCATGGTTACCGCTTAGGGAGGGAAAGTCATATATGCATTGACATAATCCGTGTATAATCTGTATAATTAGGGACACATTACAATCATTGTACAAGTGATGAACTAGTCACTTTGATCTTGTCGTCCACATCGCCAAGTGCTGAAATACTATCTCACCTTACTAGAATACATCAAGATTTTCACCATTCTTTCAAAGTGTTTGCCCTATGGGTAAGCATTATTTCTTTCAATAAATATTGTTAATTTTGATTCTGTTGAAGATTTGATTTGTTTACTCTCTCAAAGATTATCCATGATGATTCTTGTCTCAAGATGATACTGGAATCATTGAATAGAGTCTTGTTATGGAGTGCACTTTCTGTTACAGTAAGAGCAGACATTTTAAGTACTAGTGTCACAGATTACTAATCCAGGGTTCCGATCCACAAAGAGGTCATAAATTTATGACCCTTCGTAACTCTAAAGTTTACAGGGCGGTGGGGTAGCCTGATGGTTAAAGCGTCTGCCTGTCACGCTGAAGACCCGGGTTCGATTCCCCACATGGGTACAATGAGTGACGCCCATTTCTGGTGTCCCCCTCCGTGATATTGCTGGAATATTGCTAAAAGCGGCGTAAAAGTAAACTCACTCACTCTAATGTTTACAATAGGCGTCTGAATGTCGTAGGGATATGAATACTTTGTTGATAGGGGCCCAAAACACGAGGTGAAAAGTAAATTTTATTTTAATAGAATATTAATTAACTAAAGTTACTGTTTCGCAGTGCCTATTGCCATTTTTGTTAAAGGTAGTACTCAAAACATGTTGAAGATAAATTATTATTTTTTATATATATGCTTATACTAGTGCCATGACATACTCTTTGAAAAAATCTTTTCCTCTTTATTTTTTACATTAGTGGAGGGTTTCAGCAAAAGATGCTATGATTTTGCTTCAGTGAAATCTGGGTTTAAATCCCAGTTCTGCCCAATCATGTTTGTACGTTTGTCAGCACCATGCCTGTCCTCTTTAGTTTCAGCGAAGTGGGAAATGTCTGGATCTCCGACTTTCTTCACACGAAGCTGACACGCTGTGATATGACTGAAATACTGTTAGCAGCGTTAAACCCAGCTCATTCATGCTCTCACTCAGGTGAAGTCTCGCTGGAACAAGATGGAGAGGCCTGAATAGTTCTAACCAAATACGGAGATAAATGTATTTGTGTAAAAGAGAAGGCATCATCAAAGTTTGGCTGAAAACAAGACCATTCTCCTTAAAGTAACTGGGTGAAAATGTGTGTAGACATAGGGTAAGTCAATTTTCTCAGGTTTTGTTTGAAACATCGTGAGTGGTAAGAATCTTGACTGGAATCATGTAGAAGCCATTGAAAGACCTCCGACACCTTCTTTGTTGTTGGGGGTGGACAGAATGGTGAGCAGTTCCTATCTGAATGTGTCATATTTCCATCTACCATTGACATTTCAGCATTGATACTCTGTTCTAAAGAGTAAATAAACTTTTTCTGTTGCATGATAATTAATGTTGTGTTTCCATGGTTACCAGTATACAGATTCCTTACAGAACCCCTTATGTTTCATTTCATCTTTTGAAGCTTTTTGCCAAATGTTCTTTCCATCGACCACATAACACCTTCATCATTATAGAATAATTTAAGTAAATATATTAATGACAGAATTACAATTACAATTCTGTTATACAGTGTCAATGTGAATTCCATTTCAGTTGTCCTGAACCTAATATTGATGAATAATGATAAATCATACTCAAAATCTTGATGAAGTTTATTAAGAATGGAAGGATTTCAAATTTGGAACTTTGTCAATAGTATATAATTATGTTTGTTTTGTTTTTAAAATGTGCAAATACTGAACCCATCCTAAGCAAGTTAGATTACCATTTGTTGATTTTAAAGATATTTTGTGCAACGTTTTCCACAATTTTGTATTGAATCTAGAGGTTGAAGTAGCTGATTTGCATCAGACATTTTTTTATGTTTCTGTGGATATGGGTCAAAGAATTATTTTAAAGTCAAAACATTTAGTCGAAAATACTTTGTAAGCCTGAAATTACCTGCCATGAGAAGTTAGAGGCAATTATACTGTAAGTTTGCAACATGATCAGAAGGTTATATACATAATTATTGATAGGGACAGAGTTGACAAAAACAGGATTGACATTGATAAGGGCAGGATTGACATAATGACAGGATTGACATTGATAATGACAGGATTGACATTGATTAGGACAGGATTGACATTGATAATGACAGGATTGACATTGATTAGGACAGGATTGACATTGATAATGACAGTAATGACAGGATTGACATTGATAAGGGCAGGATTAACATTGATAATGACAGGATTGACATTGATAATGACAGGATTGACACTGAAAAGGGTTTACATTGATAAATACCAGATTGAAGTTGATAAAGTTGGGATTGACATTGATAAGGACAGAACTGACATTGATAAGGATAAGATTGATATTGATAAGGGCAGGATTGATATTGATAAGGACATAATTAACATTGATAAGGACATAATTAACATTGATAAGGACAAGATTGGTATGTATTTTACATTATTATGTTCTCTCGGTGCAACATTTTGGTAAGGATTATCAAGCAGTGGTATTGAGTAATTTCCAATACCAGTACTTCTGTACATGCAGCTGTTAAAGAGTTCACTCTTCATGGTGATGGCCCAGGTTTGAATCCTCACTTGGGTAGTGTTCAAAGACCATTTCTTGTCCCTTGCTAAAACATGTGCGAGACATTGCTTTGAAAGAATAAAATAGGTCAGTAGGTCAGTCCAGAATAAACACACATTGATTTTTTTCAAGTTGAATGTTAATCAGGTGTTGCATACCATAAAGCTTAACCATTCAGAATCCATGTTAGCATTTCTCAGCAAAGAAAGCATATTTTCATTTTTCAATTATGTTGAAATCTTACTTTGTGTCATGGTTGATCTCGTAGCAGAAGGCCTAGTAGGTTGTTACTGCCTGTGTTCCAAGAAATATCTGACATTTATACCATATTAGGTATTACTTCATTAACACATAGTGAAAAACATCCACAGCCAAAGCTTCATACTGCGTGAGTAAGTTAAGAACAATGCCAGCCCAATCAACAGCATTAAACTTAAAATGTAATATGGGCAAATGAAATAGTTTCTTGGTTTTTAAATATTGAAAATCTTTGAATGGGATAAACATTCCTAAGTGGTATTCCACAGGATTTCAGCTCTTTAGTTACCATGGATACCAGATTTTTAGGCAACCGTTTGAACCCTCATACACTTGTGTGAAGAATGGAGACATGCAAGCAATTTTATCAAAATCCAGTTCCATCACATGGCCAGAACTTGCAAGGAGCAATGAAACCAAATCTACCTTCAAAATTGTATCAACGGTGAGTAGTTTTGAATATCAATCAAACTTATCACTTAGTTTTACCATTGCCATCTACATGATATTTGAAGCAAACAGCTGGCAGCGGACTCTGTGTGTGTGTTAGTGAGGGGGAACAGGCAGTAGTTGCTGCGTAGAGCAGGTAACTACAGGTAGAAGCTTTCAATCATCAGAGAGATGACCAGCTGATGTGCATTTATTATATTACGCATTATAAAGATGTGTTTTGTAAATAAATTTGCAACTTTCTTTTTGTGTTATATTTTGTGGTTTTTGCATGAAGATGGCAGTACATGGTTTCAATTTTGGACTTGAAGCTGGTTGACCATCAACCAGTTGATCTCTCTACACCTGAGACATTACCTTGTGCTGGACAGGCCACCTGGTGATATATTGGCCTTGTGCTGGACAGGCCACCTGGTGATATATTGGCCTTGTGCTGGACAGGCCACCTGGTGATATATGGGCCTTGTGCTGGACAGGCCACCTGGTGATATATGGGCCTTGTGCTGGACAGGCCACCTGATGATATATGGGCCTTGTGCTGGACAGGCCACCTGATGATATATGGGCCTTGTGCTGGACAGGCCACCTGATGATATATGGGCCTTGTGCTGGACAGGCCACCTGATGATACAGTCAAATCCCGATGAGTCGAATCACTGGGGACCAAGTAATAAATTCTACTTATCAATGTATTCGAGACATAGGTATGTCTATGAGGGTAGAAAAAATGATGATCCAGTCCTAATTCCTCCGCCTAAGCATTTGTTTATCTAATGATTTCCATATCACTAATAGGGAAACCTTATCAGTTCCAGTCTCATTAGCACAGACAGTGATTTCCGTACAATCACTAATCTGCCTTTTGAACTCACCCGTCAATGGCGGAAAGGTGTGAGCCGCGCTGGTTTGTTAATTGGATCAGTTTGCTACACCAATCAACTTCTCATTGACTGACTTCGGCTTATGTATACAAGATTGCTGTTGTTTGAATCTCATGGGACCAAATTTCCTTCTCAAGTCATCGTGTGTATTTATGAGATGAATTTGTGTAACCGGTATTCAAATGATGACAATTATAACAGGGAATGGTCGGGACCGACAGGTACTTCGAGTTATGCATAATATTCGAGACACCAGCATTCGACTCATCGGGATTTGACTGTATATGGGCCTTGTGCTGGACAGGCCACCTGATGATATATGGGCCTTGTGCTGGACAGGCCACCTGATGATATATGGGCCTTGTGTGGACCAGTCCATCGGACTGTACTTGGCACATGAACCTTGTGTGGACCAGTCCATCTGATGATATATGGGCCTTGTGTGGACCAGTCCATCTGGTGATATATGGGCCTTGTGTGGACCAGTCCATCTGGTGATATATGGGCCTTGTGTGGACCAGTCCATCTGGTGATATATGGGCCTTGTGTGGACCAGTCCATCTGGTGATATATGGGCCTTGTGTGGACCAGTCCATCTGGTGATATATGGGCCTTGTGTGGACCAGTCCATCTGGTGATATATGGGCCTTGTGTGGACCAGTCCATCTGGTGATATATGGGCCTTGTGTGGACCAGTCCATCTGATGATATATGGGCCTTGTGTGGACCAGTCCATCTGGTGATATATGGGCCTTGTGTGGACCAGTCCATCGGACTGTACTTGGCACATGAACCTTGTGTGGACCAGTCCATCTGATGATATATGGGCCTTGTGTGGACCAGTCCATCGGACTGTACTTGGCACATGAACCTTGTGTGGACCAGTCCATCTGACGATATATGGGCCTTGTGTGGACCAGTCCATCTGGTGATATATGGGCCTTGTGTGGACCAGTCCATCTGGTGATATACCTGGCCCTTGTGTTCATCAGTCCATCCCATGATATCTGGGCCTTGTGTGGACCAGTCCATCTGGTGATATATGGGCCTTGTGTGGACCAGTCCATCTGACTGTACTTGGGACATGAACCTTGTATGGTACAGTCGATCCAAATATACCTGGCCCTTGTGTTCATCAGTCCACCCCACTATACCTGGCCCTTGTGTTTCATCAGTCCATCCCACTATACCTGGCCCTGGTGTTCATCAGTCCATCAGTCCTTGGGATTGTGTTATACCATCCCCCTGGCCCTTGTGTTCATCAGTCCATCCACTATACCTGGCCCTGGTGTTCATCAGTCCACCCCACTATACCTGGCCCTTGTGTTCATCAGTCCATCCACTATACCTGGCCCTGGTGTTCATCAGTCCACCCACTATACCTGGCCCTTGTGTTCACCCACTATACCTGTCCACCCACTATACCCACCCACTATACCTGGCCCTGGTGTTCATCAGTCCACCCACTATACCTGGCCCTTGTGTTCATCAGTCCACCCACTATACCTGGCCCTGGTGTTCATCAGTCCACCCACTATACCTGGCCCTGGTGTTCATCAGTCCACCCACTATACCTAAGGAAGGCCCTACACTAAAGGACATGACACAAACAATAATACATGATAGACATGACTCATACAGTTTAATTAAACATTTAATGTTCATTTACAGCTTAATGTCAATAGTGTCCTGACAATACACAAATAGTTGTAAACATGAAAAATATTCAAAAGACGTAAATTGCACCAATCAATGTTCGACTGAGATGGTTTCCAACAAGCTTGTTGTAAACTACAAAAATAACCAGAGATAAAACTATCCTCAACAAGATACCGAGCTTGATGAGCTGCCTTTCTGCAAACATATTCACTGTTACCCATGTATGCAAATATGCAAGAAATCTGAATTAACACCATAACCTGACAATGTAGATTGTTTCAGATGGTCACCTGTATTTCTTCACATAACTTTATTTATTGATAAAAGACCGGCATCACGTCTATATGAAATCAACGTCAGTGAATTATGCACAACAGCACTGCTTCTGGCAAGTATGACGGTTGTAAGTGGACACCACACAAGACCGCTGAATGACAGCATATGCACAGATAGGAATTGGAAATCATCTGACACAACATTTCAAGCAGACTTCTGATTACACGATCCATGTCTAGTCATTGGTATATAAATACCCAGTACACAGGGCCAAAAGGAATTGTAGTATATTAAACACCTAAAGAAAACTATAAATACCCATTGAGATTTATCTTGCCTCTTGATCACTCCATAAGTATGTTGCCCACTTATAGATTCGACAAGTTGTTGGCATTGAAGACTTTAAATTCTCCAACATTGGCTAACAATAGCTGAAGTGCAGAGGAAAGTCAATGAAATAAGTTTCATAATGTCAAATACTATCTTGTCTTATAGTTGATTTATACTGCCAGGTAACAACTGGGCAATGTACAATGAGACGATGTCATTTCAGATGTTCAGTGTTTCATACAAGAATACACCTGGATCTAATATTTTGAATGGAGGCTGGAAACTGTGTACAACTGTACAGATGTTTTCACATTTGACTGATGAAGTTTGGCTAAGTTACTGCTCTGAGATGCCACATCAGCTTTGCTGATACATTGTATTTCAACAATCTTAATGAAGGGTCTCCAAGACTCCGCATTGTGCCAGATTCACATCAAATGTGATGAAGAAAATACACAAAGCTGAAGAATGATCAATATATAATGTTAACTTGGTGAAAAAATTGCTTTAAACATTCATAACGATTTTCTTTATCCCATTACATAGAAGTAGGAGCAGTGACTGGTGAAATAAACAGTGCATCACCTCATGCACAAACATACTGGAGTCTGAGTGTAAACAGCTATTGCACTGTTGTCGGACATTATGTCGTAGATCGTACACGCATATCATTATTATAATGAGCATCTTATATCTAAATGATCTAAAGTATGTACACAACAAATGAAAAACAACAACAGAATCTTGACTCATTGGCACAAATAGTTGAAGCAAAAAAAATTTGAACACATTTTTGAAATACAAATCAATGATAATATATTTACAATATCAGATGCCATACAGCTGGCTCTCACATCGGGGAAAACATGTTTATCTCAAATCTTAATCCAAACCACAGTTCCTCTGAGAAAACCATTACACACAGGCTAGACAAAACAAAACTGTCATATGCACCAAAGTTTACCTTTCTTGAGTTTTTCATTGGATGGCTAAACAATCAATATAAGAGGTGCAGGGTCCCTGATTTGATTTTGTTTTTTGTTAGTTTATACACTGCACTTGCCCACATTCCTATATGATGGTGGCCTTTACATAATCAAGTCTGGACCAGACAATCCAGTCTGTGCCAACACTATACTGTAGAATAGCTGACACAGTTGCAGCTTGCAATCAGTTACTGATAAAAGGCTGCTTGCTTACATATACCAGCACAATCCAGAGCATGGATATATGGGAGGCGTGTCAACTTGACCCGGTAACGTTCACTGACACTTACGATGTCAACCACTGGATTGTCTGGTCCAGACTTGATTATTTACGGACTGTGTTCATATAGCTGGAATATTACTGTGTCCGCTGTTAAACAACAAACCAGTGACCATACCGGTTTATGGTCTTTGACAAATAAACAAACACTGCAATCTGTAGTGATTCTGAATGACTGAGACGGCTCTCCGTCAAAACAGGATGTGCTCATGCCGCAGAGGTGTAACATTCCAGGTGTTGATGTGATGTTATTACAAGGCGGATATGTGATATGAACGATACGTCTAATGAATACAGAATACTTCTTGGACTCAAACATTCTGTTTCAGAAAATGTCACTGAGTATGCTAGGATGTCATACATGTCTTGTATCATCCTGGATAACCCAGTGTATCCTATAGCCAGGGTAACTCCTGGACCTATTCACTACCAGAGCTTCATCACTGAAAATAATCACCTAATCCAGCATTTCTTCACTGCTTAACTAGTAGCACTCTGAATAATTCAGCTAATAGTTCATTTATAACAATATTTCCAACTTCAATACATTGCAAGACAATTTTGCATGCAGATCAAACCACAGATATATTTAGAAGAAGCACTGGACTGGTTGTTGAAGTCAAGCCCATGGGAGAGAGAAATCAAAAGAGACAGATGAGGATGGTGACATTGCTTCCTTCATGAAGCTCTGGTGATGGATGAGTCCAGGGTATGTATGGAGAACAGAGATACAGCACACTGGAGGATGATCTTGCATATAATCAGATAACAGTTTACAAGTGATGGACGTTCAAAGATCAAGATGTCTGTTTGGTCTCTGGTGAAGCCCAGTCTTTGAACAGCCTGCGAATTGAGCGGAGCCCGACTACCATAGGACTCTGAAACAATCAAGAAGTCTGTCACATGTACGAACAAATTGTGCCACAAAATTCTAAAACTGTACACTTAAGTTTTTAGTTATGTATAAGACATACTTTGTGCACAAGCTTTTTGTTTTCAAACTCACTTTACAACAAAATTTCATGTAATTACAGTAATTACATTGACAACAAACTCAAAGGGATTGCTCCTTTTAGTTCATTGTAACCACAGTTCATTACACACATTTCATTTGTTTGTTGTTAAACTCTGCTCTCAGCAGTATTCCAGCATATGGCAGCAATCTGTAAATGTCTGGACCAGACAATCCAGTGATCAACAGCATGAAAACTGATCTACGCGATTGAGACGATGACATGTGTCACTCGATCCTGTCAGTTGCCTCTTACAACAAGCATGAGTTGCTGAGGACCAATGTTAACCTGGATCTTTTAACAGGATATATACACAGGATATATACACAGGATATATACACATTTCGAATAAATATACAGACAGTGGTCATGACCAAACAAGAAGTTTGCTAAATCCATCAGTTCGTTATAAGCGTGTTCATTATATACATAGTTTACTGTATAATACACGGAATAATTGAATAGGCTAAATAATAAGTTGCATTTGTTAATTTCAGGATGACAATCAGTACCAGTTTGTATACAAGCTGACACATATGGGAAGCTCGGAAGGGGAATTTTTATCAGTTTTGTTATTTTGTTTATTTGTTTTTTAACACCACAAAGAACAATATGACAGTGACTTGAAAATACTCAAGTCCGGGATAACTGACTGACTGAGTTTGGTTTTACGCCACTTTTAGCAATATTCCAGCAACATCACGGCAGGGGACACCAGAAATGGGCTTCACACATTGTACCCATGTGGGAAATCGAACCCGGGTCTTCAGCGTGACGAGCCAACGCTTTAACCACTAGGATACCCCAGCGCCCGCCCGGGATCTTGAATCAAGTGATGATATTATGAGCATACCAATGAGTAAGATGACACCCAATCAACCATTCACCCAGAATGACCATCCAATCCACTAATTTGCCTCGCATGACCAGGCAGACCAATTCTACCACAGAATCCCCTGGGGGGTTTCAAAGAACCAACAAGGGAATCTCACCTTCCTGATTGTCTTGGACAAACTTTCTCTATCACTCGAGAGAAGACTAGGAGCAATGATGTTGAGATTCTGAACCCATCCTGGGAGCTTTGTACCCTCCTTCCTCTCCGCAGGGCCTGGGGATCCAAAGCTATCATTACTTGTGTCGGAACACTGTGAGGAGTTCAGCCCTGGACTCTGTGTATTCGGTGATTTTGGCACCGGACTATGCTTGGTGTTGGGCTGTGAGTTGTTTCGAAACAGACTTGGGCTGGGCTGTGAATTTTTGTTACTTGCTGACGACTGAGAATTGTTTCGAAACAGACTTGGGCTAGTTTGTGAAGTGTTGTTGCCAGTTGCAGACTGGGAATTGTCTTCCTGTTCTTGTAATTTGATCCATGGGCAGAATGTGCGATGCTCATCAGATGGATCAAAACTGTCCTTGTTTTCCTGTAGACCAAGAAGATATATTGTACATGTTAACAGTGAGTATAATGCCACTATACATCAAGGAGTGAGTGAGTGAGTGAGTGAGTTTTTACACAGCTGTTAGCAATATTCCAGCAATATCATGGCGGAAAAGGTAGTGTGGTGAGTGATCAGTTTCTAATCAAAACAAGAACCACGATCAGTGGAAAGATACTTGCACAATATGATTGCTAGATTTACTAACCAATTTCTGTTTCTTCAGAGGAGGATCAGAATCACCATTTTGGTCGGAGCCATTGCTGATCTTCACCTTGAAATTCCACAACCCAGCTTTCCTCTGACAATACTCGCACACTAGGGTGTCATTGTTGCTGAAAAGAGATTTAATGAGGAAACCTTTCAGCAAATTAAAGACTGTTCTTAAAAAATTTCAAAATTAGATTTCCCATATGTGGGCCTACTTCATGTTTCAGAATCAAGGTTCCTGCAGGTGAACTGATATTTCAGAAAGTCTTGGCTGTTTACTGAGTGTGATATGCACAACTTCTTGCGTTGGTTTAGCATTGATAATCAAATCTGGACCAGACAATCCAGTGACTAACAAGACACCATCAAGTTATGCCACCTGTTATGGCGCCTCTCCTTCTAACAAGCATAGATTGCCAGGGACCAGTTCTAACCCACAGAACAAATAATCAACTTGCAGTGACTTTAGCCTTTAGAATACTTGATGCTGATGGAACAAGAGTCTGTGTCAAGTCTCTCACCTGATGGCCCAGCCAGTAACTGCAAGCGCTGCTGCCACTTTCATCCCCTCTGTACTGGACTTGTCCAGAGAGAAGGTCAGTCGCCCACAGTGGTATGTGTCAAAGCCCTGCAAAAATGAGCAAATTATTATAGACCTTTTGTACACAAGATGTTGCTGGTTATAAAGATGACTTACAACTATCCTGTGTCCTCAGTTGTTCAGTGACACAGGATTCTGGATTGGGGTTTTAATGAACATAAATTATTCTGTCCTGATAAGGAATGAATAAAGAATGGATGCAAACAACATCCACTGCATGTTCAAGCAAAAGATACTAAAATAATTAAATCAAAACATGTACCCTAGATTTAATTATCAGTTCCAAAGGTCAGTATGAGTTGTTCACTAAAGTACTGTCGGAAATAGATAAAAAAACTGTTTTTAGGCTGTTACTCTGTATCCCTAAAATTTACACCATTGCAAATAGCATATGTCGAAATAAACCACATCGGCCTAACTGGGCGTTCAGTGGAATGTGTAATAGGATATCCAGAAAAGCACGTTTACTCGTAAAATGGGGCAAAACTTAACAAAAATACGAATAGCTGCTGAAAACAATAGATCAGACTATAGATGGCAATTAGGTCGCTCAGCCAGGTATGACAACGGACCGTCGACTTACCTGGCATGAAGTGCATGTGCTGCATGCAGGCACAAGGGGTCATCTCAAAGATATTTTATGCTTTTTCATGTGTATTGAACATGTCTCATCTATTGATTAACATCTTACATGTCTTTTTTTTTTTATAAAGTTTATGTTGAGATATGTAAAGAGGATGATACCCATACCCATAGAAAAGCTTAAATCAGCAATCGTATTAAATGTCTCAAAATATATAAGTGGCATGACCACCCGAAGATAGACAGGACTGGATATTATTTGTAAATTGTTATGACATGCCGTTTTCTTCCACAGTTTAATTCCCCTAAAGGATTATCCTATCTCTATCCCCCAGCCCGACCCCAACCACCCATTGTGGTTTTGCTTTTGTGACGAGCCCTCTAACCTGTTTCTTTTTATGGTGATAGTGAGACTCCATGGTAGCTACATCCTTCATAGTTTCAGTCTTAAAGTTATTATTTTGTACGTCAGCTATCATTTATAATGAAGCTAAGTTTAATTTCAAAATGGGAATTTAAAAAGTGTCCTTTGTAATACAATATCATCGCACACTAATTTGCATAAAGCCATGGTCTTAGAAAAGTTTTTTTCTATTTCCGACAGTACTTTAATATGCACAGCTTCTCCAGAGCTCAGTGTAACAACTTACAAACTTGGCCAGACTGTCATAATTGATGTCCGGTAAAGTGTCCCTGGCCTCCTTCAGCCTCCTGTACCGGGTCTGGAAGTCACGCCTCACCTCCTCCAGATCATAGTGGGGGACATGCATGTACCAGTCTGAAATATGGACATACAACATCACAGTTACCATAGTAACATGCATTTACTAGTCTGAAACATGGATATACATCACAGTTACCATAGCAACATGCATTTACCAGTCTGAAACATGGAAACACAACATCAGCATTACCATAGCAACATGAAATTTTTAGAGTAAAATTAATATTTTTATACTTATCCTGGCTCATGCTTATTTGCTTGTCTTCTTCTTCTGGCGAACCTAGTGGAACACTTGTATCTCCCAATTGAAGTTCCCTTCAATAAAGAATCACTCATTAGTACTCACCACGAGTTACCTCCCTTCTGTAAGCGCGGGAACGAGGGCGCCACCCAAGCCCATGTGCCTCACTCTCTCCTTTTTTGCTTTGAGCCCAACACTTTCTTTTTCCCGAGATATCCAAAGTGTTAAGTGGGGAGGACGGGAGGGCTTACCTCATGAGTCAGGATAAGTATAAAATATTAATTTTACTCTAAAAATTTCATATTTTTCTTATCCTGACTCATGCTTATTTGCTTGTAGAATCCTACGGATTAGGAGGTGGGATTATATATACTTTGGATTTTACTAATTAGTGATTTGAAGTGATATGATTGTAATAACCGTATGGGATTTTTTTTTTTTTTTTTTTTTTTTATTCATTCAAAATCAGTAGATACATGTATACAAAGCACATGATGCAACAACACTTGTACACCGTAGGAGAGAAATTCATATGGGTTGGCATTACACATATTGGGATCTTCATTAGGCTGGGAATGTGTGCAGTAGAGATGACCATTTTCTGTCAAATTGTAATATGTTTTGATTCTTACTGGCAATAAACTTTTCTGTCTTGAAGATATCACTCAATATTTTTACAAATGTATCCAGTGATAATTTATTTTTTTAATACTTGATATATGGATATATTTTTACTGGCAAGAAGTATGTGATTCATAAGGTCGTTATTATATCCGCCAATTAAGACTGTATATTTTGTAAGGGTAAAAGTTTCTGATGATTTATCTTCAATATATTCTTTCACTTTCAGCCAGAACGTTTTCACATATTCACATTCCCAATAAACATGTATCAAATTTTCTGACATTAAATTACAAAATGAGCAAAGTTCATCATCTACTAATTTCATTCTCAATAATTCTTTCTTTGTGTAGACAATATTGTGGATAAATTTAAACTGGAAGTCAATCAATTTGGTATCTTTTGTACATCTTCTATATTTTCTAAAAATATCTTGCCATGGAATTGCAATATCAAAGATATTTTGCCATTTTTCACATGTTGATGGTAGGTTTTCAGTAGTTATAAGTTTGTCATAGAAATATCTGGATCTCTTTGGTGCTGAAAGTAAATCTATCAGTGATGTGTTAAGATAATGATTATGAACAATCAATAAATTCTTTCTTATAGTTTCTTTCCATTTTTGGGGTATATTTGAAAGAACCTGGTAATAGTCAAGAATTGTGCCTTTAATTTTGTAAGTTTTCTTAAGTTCACTAAATGGCAAAATACCTTGATCATTACACAAGTCTCTTATAGAGTGAATACCTTTGAGATGCCAATGGTTTATAATGAAATTACTATTTTGGAATTGGTGATTGAACCAAAGGGGTTGAGATAAGATTTGATCAATATCTGTAAAATCAGTTTGATGTGTTTTATAGAATATTCCCCATGCAGCCAATACATCTTTCCAATAGGGATTTATAATACTGACATAGTTTTCAATATTGGCTCCAAGCAGAAATATATCTTTAAATGGAAAGATACTAGGGATAGAATTGCTATTATTTTGAAGATATTTATGTAAAACTGACAGTTTTAAAGAGTTTATGAATACCTGTACATTAACCATTCTGAGTCCCCCCTCTTCATATTTTCTAATAAGTGTCGTTAAACTTTATCTTATCCCGCTTATCATTCCAGATGAATTTATAAAATATATTGTTTAATTTGTCAATGAATTCCTTTGGAGGATTTGGGAGTGAGGTGAATATATGCACCAATGATGAAAGTGCTAAAGTTTTAATAACAGTTATTTTCCTATTAATGTCAACTTTCTTTTCCTCCAATTCCCTAGAGTTCTATTAATAATTTCTAGTCTTTTTCTTGTATTAATTACCCAAAGGTTATTTAAATTAGGATTAAGTCTTATTCCTAGAATATCAAAGTCCTCATTATGCCAATCAAGCTTAAGGTCCTGGCATAAAATCATGCTACTACCTGCCATTGAGCCTATCCACACTGCTTTCGTTTTATCTATATTTATTCTTAAACCAGACATTTTGTAGAAATTATTGAGAGTGTCAGTTGCTGCCCTTAAACTTTCTTCTTACCATCGAGAAATAATTCAGTATCATCTGCGTACTGTCCAATTTTATGTTCAGTGTTATTCAATGTAATTCCTTTTATTGCAAGCGTTATTACGGATCATTATTCCTAATATTTCAGCCACTAAGATGAATATATAGGGAGAGACTGGGTCCCCTTGTCTACAGCCCCTTTCATTGTCAAAAAATTGAGATAAATGACCATTCTGTATAACACATGATGTAGCATTATTGATTAATATTTTGATCCATTTTTCCATATTGGGTCCAAAGCCAAACTTTCCAATTGTTAAAATTATAAATTCTTTAGAGACAGTGTCAAAAGCTTTTTCAAAGTCAATAAGCAACAAGAGTCCCTTTTTATCTTGTACTTTTGCTTCAAACATAATGTCGTATAATAATCTAATGTTCTCGCTAATACACCTTCCAGGTATAAAACCTGTCTGAGTTTCATGAATAAGAGTATTCAATGTTGTTTTAATTCTATTGGCTATACATGTGCTGAGTATTTTATACAAAGAATTCAGTAGGGAAATTGGGCGCCAGTTTTTTAACAACTGTCTATTTTTGTTAGCTTTTGGGATACATGTGATGACGCCTCTGTTTATTGTTGGACTTAACATATTTTGCCTGAATGCTTCTGATATATATCTACAAACCCAAATATGAAGATCTTTCCAGAAAAATTTAAAAATTCTATTGGGAAACCATCTACTCCTGGGCTTTTGTTATTTTTCATTGATTTAACGGCTCGTGTTACTTCATCTATAGTAATATCACCCTCAAGATTTTCAGCCTGTACAGTGTGCAGTTTGGGTGTAATAATATCATCAAATATATTAATATATTTATCTGTTATTTTACCACCTGATGAGTATAGATTTTCATAAAATTGCCTTTGTTCATTTAATATAGCCTTACCATCTGATATTACTTCCCATTTGTCATTGAGAACACTATTCATAAGTTTACTGGTATAATTTCTATTTTCGAGATGACAGAAATAGTTGGTTGGTTTTTCTCCTTCCTCGTACCACTGAATTCTATTTCTTATCTGTATACCTCTTATTTCATCTTCTTTTAATTTTTCAAACTCTAATTTACATTTGGATAGTTCAGAAAGTTTAGTTTCACATATGGTTTGGAAATTTTCTCTGATTTCTTCTTCCATTGCCAAAATTTTTCCTTCTAAATTTTTGCTTTTTTCAGTTTTGCTTTTTTTTAAGTAGGAAGAGAATGATATTGTTTTCCCCCTCACTTTCATTAAAAATGTTTCTAAGAACAAAGTGTCGCTTATATTAAGTTGTAGTTTAGAATCTTCAATATCACCTAGTTCATCCTCAGTGCAGTTACAGTATTCTAATTTTGTTTCAAAAAGCATATCCTTGACTGTGTTTACATATTCTTGGTTATAAAGTAATGATGTGTTTAGTTTCCAGTATCCTCCACCTCGTTCCTTATTAAGTTGATTAGAAAAAGACATGGTAATTGCTGAATGATCAGATTTATATCCTGGAAGTATTGAACAGTCAGTTGTCATGTTTGCTAAATCTTGAGAAACTAAAAAGAAATCAAGTCTGGACTGTTGTTTAGGGGTGTTTTTTTCCACCATGTGTATTTCTTTACATCATAATTTCTCTCCCTCCAAATGTCTGTCAAATCATACTTTTCTATATTATCTAGCACTACTTTTCTTCCGTATGGGAACTTCATGAAGGCACTGAACTGAATTCCTGCTGTTAATATAACAGCTGCCTTTAAAGAAGGTTATTACAATTTACTGCACATAATAAAAAGTATATAGAACATTAATTAAGCTAAGGCCATTAATGTGATAGTATAAACTGTTGATAGTTTATAATGAATACTTTTATAAGAACCAAAGTAGTAAGCTTACAATATGTATATATATAAGCTATAACAGAATTGTGCTTAAGGTATAAAGATAACTTAAGCTGTATAATAGTAACCAACTACTGATAGTTTGTTAACTTATACATGTTATGAAATGAACATATGACTGAGCTTAAGGAAGAACTTAAGCTGAACATATATATAATAGTAGAAACTCGTAAGAGTTGTAGGTATATATATATTATGATATAAATCATAGTACTGAGCTTAAGATAATATTTTAACTTAAGCAAATATATATAGATAGCATGTAGCTATTAGTACTGTTATCAGATAAGTATAAAATCAACAAGATAGACTTATCTTCTCCGTGGAACTGTCAACTGTTGAGCGAGGACCATGGGACCGAAATGGTGGATACCTGAGACATCCTTAGCGGTGATATCTCTCAGATAGTGGTTGGCAAACACCATATCGGATCTCCAAAAACATTCCTCCATGATGGTATTCAATGAGCAATTTCCATGTAAAGCCAAAGTTGAAGCTAGTGCTCTAATTTCGTGAGGATTAGTAGCACTTGGAGGGTCCAGTCCAGCTGCCTTGTAGGCTCTTAGTATGACAGTTCTGATCCAAATAGCTATTAGTACTGTTATCAGATAAGTATAAAATCAACAAGATAGACTTATCTTCTCCGTGGAACTGTCAACTGTTGAGCGAGGACCATGGGACTGAAATGGTGGATACCTGAGACATCCTTAGCGGTGATATCTCTCAGATAGTGGTTGGCAAACACCATATCGGATCTCCAA